TGTGTGGGAAATATGGGGGGAGAAGAACGAAATATATATGTAAATATATTCTGGAGGCATAAGTTACCTCCAGAAAAGCATCAGAAACAGTCACATTGGTTGTTTCAAAGGAGAGGACTATGGTAGTTGAGGGACAAGACTGAAAAGACATTCCACTGTTTACTCTTGGATACTTTTTGGATTTTGAACCATGTCAATAAATTACTTGACCAAAAAAAGGAAACAGCCCTAGCTGGTTTTGCTCAGTGGATAGAGTGGCAGCCTGTAGACTGAAGGGTCTTGGGTTTGATTCTGGTCAAGGGCACATGCCCAGGTTATGGGCTCAATCCCCATTAGGGGGCGTGCAGGAGGCAGCTGATCAATAATTCTCTTACATCATTGATGTTTCTATCTTTCTCTTCCTCTCCTTTCCTCTCTAAAATCAATAAAAAATATATATATATTTAAAAAGGGAAACATATAAAATTAAACCTAAAAAGGTAAGAGAAAGTTGACTGACTGTGATTTACACAAATGAGGATTTGCTTTTCTCTCATAAAAGGAAACCCAAACTGACTTGTTCAGCTGCTCAAAGATGCCTCGTTCTTTCTTTCCTTCTAGGACCGCTATCCTCAGAGGATTGGCTTTTTATCTCCATGGCTGTTTCCTCGTGCCAGTAAGATAACTGCGGCAGCTCAGGCTTTATGTCTTCAAACAAACATCCCCCAAACAAGAAAGAAAGGCAAAAACAACAAGAAAGCCCACTGTATGGGAGAATATATTTGCAAATGTTATCACTGATAAAGGCTTAACCTCCAACATCTATAGACAGCTTATACAACTAAATAAAAGGAAAATGAATGATCCAATTAAGAAATGGGCAATGGACATAAATAGAATATTTTCAAAAGAAGACAGAAGGAAGGCCAAGAGGCACATGAAAACATGCTCAAAGTCACTAATTATCGGAGAGATGCAAATCAAAACAACAATGCGGTACCATCTCACACCTGTCAGAATGGCCAACATCAACAAATCAACAAACAAGTGTTGGCGAGGTTGCGGAGAAAAAGGAACCCTCGTGCATTGCTGGTGGGAATGCAGACTGGTGCAACCACTGTGGAGAACAGTATGGAGTTTCCTCAAAAAACTGAAAATGGAACTACCATTTGACCCAGTAATCCCACTCCTAGGAATATATCCCAAGAAACTAGAAACACCAATCAGAAAGGATATATGCACCCCTATGTTCATAGAAGCACAATCTACAATAGCTAGGATTTGGAAACAGTCTAGGTGCCCGTCAGCAGATGATTGGATCCAAAAACTATGGCATATCTACACAATGGAATACTATGCTGCCATAAAAAAGAAGGAATTCTCATCATTTGCAGCAACCTGGATGGAATTGGAGAACATCATGCTGAGTGAAATAAGCCAGTCAATGAAAGAGAAACACCACATGACCTCATTCATTTATGAATAATAAAGAACATTATAAACTGATGAACCAAAAGATAGATATAGAGACAGTAAAACAACAAGCAGACTGTCAAATTACAGCGGGGAGGGTAGGGAGATCTGGGGAGATAAGAGATCAACCGAAGGACTTGTATGCATGCATATAAGTACAACCAATGGACACAAAACTCTGGGGAGGGAGGATATGTATGGGAGGGGGGCAATGTTAAGATATGTACACAGATAATAATTTAATAAAAAAAAAAAAAGGAAACAAAAAACTTTTCCCTAGTGATGCTTCTTGTCCTAAGAACAAGACTTTTCTGAACTGTCATTGGCCTGAAATGAATCCTAGGTCCCATCCTTAACTAATTCCTGGAAAAGGGGAATGCTTTTTCACTGGCTCCTGGGACTAGGGCAAGGGCATCCCCTCCTGACATAGTGGAATGTCTGTATTGGTACAGACGAGGGGTTCTGTTGCTAGGGAAGGTGTGGAAATCTGCTGGGTAGGTTGCAGAAAGACTCCATTACAACTGCCAATGTGAACCACTCCATCTTCTGAAAAAGAAATTCTTAGTTACCAGGCCTGTCTGCCCCGACATGTCCCACTGCTGCCACTTACACAATTTCATTCATCTCTCTCCTGGACTGCTGGCTTGGCCTCCTCTCTGGTCTCCCCATACCCATGTTCACATTGCTTGAACTCAGTATTGGCTTTCTCCTCCCTGTGATAATGGAGTTCTCAAAATTAATATATGAGAGGCTACCTAGATTCAGGCTTAATGATCCCATTATTAACTACTATTGTATCAGGTCCCATCTTTCTAAGGCATCTATCAAGAGGTGGTCTTCACTATTTTTTGTTTTTGTTTTTTAATATATTTTATTGATTTTTTTACCAAGAGGAAGAGAGAGAGATAGAGAGTCAGAAACATTGATGAGAGAGAAACATCGACCAGCTGCCTCCTGCACATGCCCTACTGGGGATGTGCCTGCAACCAAGGTACATGCCCTTGACTGGAATCTAACCTGGAACCTTTCAGTCCAGAGGCTGACGGTCTATTCACTGAGCCAAACCGGTTTTGACTTCACTGGTTTTCTATCAGCTTTCATTCTAGACAGGAGCTCCTCAGTCTAAAGTGTGCTCCTGGAGTCTATGTGGACTCCACACTGGCAAGACTGGGATGGGCAGAGTGATGGGCTGAGTTGTGTCTCCCACAATTCACACGTTAAAGTCCTAACCTTCAGTGCCTCAGACAGTGACTGTATTTGGAGATAGGGTTTTTAAAGAGAAAATTAAATGTAGGTGAGGTCATTAGTGTGGGCCCTAATCCAGTATGACTGGTTTCCTTATAAGAAGAGGAGGTTAGGACACCGGCACACACAGAGGGAAGACCTTGTGAAGATGCACGGAGAAGATGACCATCAGCAAGCCAAGCAGAGAAGCCTCAGAAGAAACCAACTCTGCTGACACCTTGATCTTGGACTTCTAGCCTCCAGAACTGTGAGAAAATCATTTTTTTATTAAATTATTATTTTTGTACATATACCATTGCCCCCCCCACCCCCCGTACATACCCTCCCACCCCAGAGTTTTGTGTCCATTGGTTGTACTCATATGCATGTATACAAGTCCTTCGGTTGATCTCTTATCTAAGCCTCCCAATCTGTGGTACTTTGTCATAACAATCCTAGCAGATTAATATAGGAAGGTATAATCTTAAATTTGAATGGTGTCACATAGGACTCTATCTTCACACCACTTTCTAAAAACGTTTTTCCTTTCATATTGTTGACAATGTATAAGATTTGTTTTTTATCTGATCACATGGGAACAATGATTAAGGATTCATGTTGTCGGGCTGTAGCGTACTGCAAAGCAGGAGGAGGATTTAACTATCTAACCGTACAGCTCAGCATTGTTGACTTCTCAACCAAGGAAGATGGATGGAATACTTTCATGAGGTCAACCTTAAATAACCCATGCCCTCACTTGGATCAGACGGCTCCTGCAGTACGTGTTTTAGAGGCGCCCGATCTTGATGAACCCCAGCCACAGAGTTCTTAACATGAGACCCAGATGGTGGCCTTTTATGGAAGGAGCAGTCAGCTGGCAGCCATTCCCTTTACAATCCTTCAAGCTAAGATCGTCTCTGCCGGGCAGCATGGTAAATAAATTCTGGGGGCCCAAACACTTACTAAGAGAGCCTGAGAAGATTTCAACTTCTTTTGGGCAAAAGATAAAACGAGACAAAAAGAAATAAACAAAATAAAAATCACGAGTGCTCCTTCTGAGTGACAGGAGGTCAGCCTAAATCTCCACACCAACAGAATGTGAACATGGCCTCTTGCATTTTATGCCTCAAGTTGTATTTTCCCCTTCAGTCAACCCTGCAGAACATGTGTTCACTCCGCATTGTGGCGGTGAGGATTCATGCCTCTGGAAAATGCAGGAGGTCTGGTTCCCTGAGAAAACCAGCCTATTTGACCCCTGCAGAGAAATTCTGGAAGGGTGTGGTACGTGGAGTTGTTACTCCAGGCCCCTAGAACCAGGCTAACTGGGTGCAAATCTCAGCTTTGCCATTTGCAGTTGAATTGGGCAAGTGACTTACCCCCTCTGTGCGTCGGTGTCCTCAGGCATTAAGTGGGAATAGTAGTAGTATCCAGCTCATGGGGATGTTGTGAGGATTGCATAAATTGTTATTGCAAAGCATTTCAGCACTGCCTGGCATGTTGTCAGTGGTCACTGGCTAATACTGTTATTAACAGAATTGTAAATACCAGCCCCTTACAGACATACCTCTGTGGGATTATATTTTAATGACCTTTGCCTTTGACATTGCCCAGTGGCGTAGTGTTTCTATGACTCCCCAGAAAATAAATGATCTAGGTCTCAATCTCCACTTTATTTGCATGTGGTTACAACTTATTATATAAATACACTTGCCATTTTACTTCCCTTCCGAAACTCTCCTTTTACCTAACAACCCTACCCAACCCCCCCCAGTTTTTAAGGACTCCCTTTCTTCTCCAGAGGAGAGGGGTGGTGCTCCATGTAACCCCATCTTCACATAGGGTCTACCTCAGTCCATGTGAAGTGCAGGTCCTGAAGGGGCCTCTGGAGCTTGGGATGAGTGCCACAGGTCTGTCAGAGGTCCCAGTGATGTCCTTGCAAGTGACAGGAGCTGGCTTCCTTCTGTGCCATGCTTTGGGTGCGGAGCGCCATGGTGGGCAGCAGCAGGCATCATGTGCGCTGTCTGCCTGAAGCTGAGCTGGTGCAGCTCCAGTGGCCAGGGGATCTGCAACGAAGTCTCAGGCCTGTTCAGGCAGTAGTGAGAGTCCTGTGGCGGGCACCATACCCAGCCAGTGCCCGTCCCTGCTCTCGGAGGTGTCTGAGGCCTGGCCTCTTAGGGCTTGCCTCTCAGGGGCCCTACCCAGGCCCCACTGTCAATTCTGTGTGGGCGGAGCAGCCTCGGGGAGAAGGTGCTCTTGTGCTTCCCTTCTCCTGGCTTCTTCCAGACACCATGAGGCATGGGTGACAGATTGGGTCCTTGGTCCTGTCAGAGGTCTTGGCATCCCAGTGTCTCTGTCTCGGCCAGGTGCCAAGCTTTGCCATCTTCCTGGTAAGGTGCAGAGAGCCTGGGAGGACCAGGGTGCCCCTCTTCAGGAATGGGATATGGAGGCTCTGGGGGCGCAGGGGGGTCTCCAGGGCCTCGTGCTCCCCCCACTACTGGTCCATTGTAGATGTAGATATTGCCAGTAACAGTCACAGACCCGCCGTTGACATGAAAGCCATTGGTACCTGCGGGAAGGGAAGCAGAGTGAGTGAGCCTGAGGGGCACTGTGGGGGAAGGAAAGCCTGTGTACCCCTGCATTGGTATCCCTACATCCTGAATGCCCTCACTCTTCTGCCTTCTCCATTTCCTCTCTGGTCCCACTCCCATTTGCTCTTGGTGTCTTGAGTTCTGCATTCATTTCTGTTTCTGGGTTTTTGGTCTCTTCCTTTCTCTCTAGTTGGGACATTCTGGCTGGCTCTGTCTCTGTCTTGCCTCGCACTTTCTCTCCCTGCCCACCATCCTTCCCACCGCATTCCCCCACCCCCACACTCCCCTCCCTGCAGCCTGCTCACCATGGGCCACCTGGCCTTGCTCTGGGAGCTCAGCTTCCAGCTCCCGGGCCTGGCTCAGAGGACTCTGCTGCTGTAGCACCTCTTGCTCCACAACTGGAGGTGGTGGGGGCCAGGCTGAGGCCACGGGCAAGTCTCTAGGGATGGGCAGAAGTGGCTTTACCAGGTCAGGGATATGGGGGTTGATGTTTGAGGGCTGCCAGTTTCCATCAGCAATATTGGATTCCTCTCCCTGCAGGAGAGAAAGCAGAGAATCAACCAATGATGTGGGCCTCAGACCCCCTCTTTCTTCAATTCCCACATCCCACCCCAGCTTAAGCAGCCCTCCTCTGCTCTTCCTCAAGCTCCCTGCCTCAGGCCTTTGCCCTTGACATTCTTGCTTCTTGGAGCATTTCCCCAGGCATCGTTTCTTCAGATCTCTGCTCAAAGATCGACTCATCAGAGAGGCCCTCTGTCCACTGTCTAAGGTAATACACCCCCATCCTCTACCACTGTCATTCATTGTTCCCCTATCCTGCTTCATTGTCAGTTATCAGGACCTGATACTTATTTATTGTTGCTCCACTGGTATGTGACTCCAGGAGAGGAGTTACTTTGTTCACTCACTGCTGTATCCATGTGCCTAGAACAGTACTGGGCATATGGCATGCTCAAAAGTTATTTGTTGAATGCATGAATGTTGAGGCCTGCACACTCTTTTCCTGCCTACCCCCCACATTGTTCCCTCTCACTTCCTGCCCCTCCTTGCTGCCTTCTCAGCTTCCCTCATTACCTCTGGACGGCTCTTGAGCAGGGATCCTGCAAAGAAAATGAAATGGATGTAGGGCTTCTGGCAGACCTCAGACTCCCAGCCTTTCACCCTCCACACCCCACCATGATGTGTTGCCACCCACCCTGGGGTCCCTGAAGGAACAGGCTATCATGACCCTTCTCTCTAGGCTCAGAACGGGGCGGGGGAGGGGCTAGAGGGAGATGATGTCTACTTATGTTGGGAGCAGGCATTGGGAGTCTTGAGCCTGTGGAAGGGTTGTCTGGGGAAGATGAAAATTCCCTCCCATTCCCTTCCTCATCCAGGTGGGGACTGACAACCACATCGTAGCCTGTGTCCAGCCCTTCCTACCCAGCTTTCTGCAGAGAGACGGGTGGCTCTTCCAGGTGCAGGCGAGGATGGTGGAGATGAAGAGCAGGGAGACCAGGGGCAGCAGGATGGCCAGCATCAGCATAGTTCCTGCCAGGACAGCAGACAGCATGCAGCATGATGGGGGGAGAAGAGCAGAGGGGAAGGAAGTTCATGAATAGCTTTTCAATTCTCTGGGCCACCAGACAAAAAACAAGTTCTTAAAGGCAGAATTAGAGTCCGACACTTCCTTGGGCGGCAGAGAAAGGGAACTCAGTTGGACTTGGGGGGCCCGCCTGTCAGCCAGGAGAACATGTGGGAGATGGAGATGTTTGGGGAGGTGCAGTCCCAGCGGCCAGAGGCAGTTGATTTTCAAGGGCTGAAAGTGGTGGTGAGAGGGCGGGGCTTAGGGCTATAAGCAGACTCAGGCCACAGGGTTGAGACATGCTTCTGTGGACTTGGCCGTCTTACAGAGAGGCCACCGCAGGAACTGAGAGTGCCCCTCTGTGGGGCGTTCACAGAGGTGGGAGAGTTGGGGAGCCTCACTTCTGGATTCTGCCTGTTGTTGCCTGGGAGTCAAGGGGTTGCAAGGTCTTCACCCGCTTGCAGGTTCCAGGAGGGAATGGGAACGGGGGGGAGGGGGGGGCCGGATGTCCAGTTCCCCAGGACCGGATGTGGGCAGTGGATAGCTTCTGTCTTTCTATGGGTCTCAGTGCTGCTATCCACAGCCTGGAGTCTGTGGTGCCCCTCAACCACGCTTGAGGAGGGTCAGGAAGACCTGAACATTTGCATCTGGGTGGTGGCTCTCTCTAGTCCACCTGGATCTGTGGCTGAAGGGAGTACAGGAGGGAAGCATGGGAAGAAACTGGACCTGAAGTCTTGAACATCTGGGCTTCCAAGCTATGTGACCTTTTAAGTCAGTCCATCTCTCTGAGCATCAATTTTTTTTTTCCATATCCTATCCTATTTAATAGAGGGAATATGCTAATTGACCCTCATGCCATCACAAAAGATGGTGATGCCCACAGCCAATAAGGAGGGAATATGCTAATTCACTGCCACACCCTAAAAGATGGTGGTGCCCAGTCCCCTCAGCCTCCCAGCCATCTAGGGCCACCTGAGGCTCAGGTAACCAGGGCCGGCCGAGGCTTGTGCTGCCAGCAGTGGCAGGAGCAGAGGTGTGATGGGGCATTGCCTTCTCCTGATCGCCTGGTAACCTCTCGTCCCTGGGGGCTCCTGGACTGTGAGAGGAGACAGGCTGGGATGAGGAACCTGCCCTTCTAGTGCATAAATTTTCATGCACCAGGCCTCTAGTATAAAATAAGGGGATTAGACTCTCTAAAATGCCAATCATATTTGAGACACAGTTAAAAATTAACAAGAGGACATGGAAAATATTTATGATATAGTTGAATGAAAAGCCAGGTTACAAAATATTCAAATGACTCCACTTTTAGGAAAAAATTATAAATATAGACATGCATAGAAAAATGTTTGGGAAGATATATAAAAAATGTTAAACAGTGGCTCTTCTAGGTGATGGTTCTGTAGGTGATGATTAATTTCTATGTGTCTGAATTTTATAATTTTTTATAGTGTGCATGCATCAAAAAGTAAATGACCCGAGTAAAGGCCTTCATAACACCCGTTACCACATGGGTGATGGTAGCACGTCACTCAACATCTGAGCCTCCTGTGAGGTGGGTAATAGAGCTACTTGATAGAATCAATGAGAGGATTAAAATGATTCGTGAATGTTTGGAGAGTGCCTGACACCCTTGCTCTGAGCAAATGGAAGCTAAGATTATAAATATTTGCTAATTTTAAAAAGCTAATAAAATAAACTTTTTCCCAATGAATAATGATCCCAGCCATTAGAAACATCCTGCCTTTGTCTATGAGGCTAGGACACCAATAATGCCACCAAGAAAACCCCAAAAGAGTCAAATGTGGGATTACCTCTCTAACAGTGAACAATCTAATAAAGTGTTCAATCTAATAAAGAGGCACTTCGTCTCGTAAATGGATTATATGATGGCGGCAAGTACAAAATGGTGACAGCCATGTCAGTTACAGTGACAGCGCCTTAGCCTCATATTATACGTATAATATGTACCGGTAACGTAAAAAGGGTGAGTGCGTGTGCGTGCGTGTGTATGAGCATGTGCGTAAGTAAGCTGGCTTGGGAACACTCCAATTTCTCTTTAAGGAACTTTTCTTCTTGACCTCATCCTGAGAGAGAAGGATTCACCTTTCCCCTGTTTTTTGTTTTTTTTTCTTCAGATGGGAGGAATGAAGGTATTTTCCCAGATACCCCCACCCCATGTGCCCCACCCCTGGCCCCTCACCTGGCGTCTCGGGGGTTCCTAGTGGATTTCTGCAGCTGGTGTCAGCGTGAGCAGTGCCTGGCGCTGCTTCTACCAGGCCCTGGTCCTCACACCTGTGGAGGAAAGAAAGGCTAAATTCAAGAGGGTACGCGGCTGGAAGTGGCAAGGGGCAAGGAGGGTCCTCCAGAGTTGAGCACGGTGGCCATGGAGTTGTCAGCAGCTGGGGCTTCTGGGAGGGAGGGAGGAACATGGGCACACTCACCTGGTGTGAGGCAGGCAGCGGGCATCTGGGGAGGAGGTGTTCTGGAAGTGCCCTGCCTTACAGGGCACACAGTGGTGATCAGCCTCCCCAACCTCACCTGGCAAAAGAGAGGCAAGGCCAGCTAGGATGAGTGGGCAAGAGCTGCAACCTTCCTTTATGCCCACTGGATGGCCCCTCCCTGTGTACCTACCCTGATCTCACCCTTGCCGAGTTTCCCTAGTGCTGAGGGGGACCCCCTCCTCCTCCCGTCCCCCCCCCCCGCCCCCCCGCCAACCATCCCTGAGCCTGTCCCAGGTCCATTTCTCTGTAGGCAGAGGCTTTTTATGCCAAAGAGAGCTACCTAGAGGCTCACCATGCACACGGTACCATGCTTCCTGCCCCCATGCAAGATCACCAGCACCCAGCCTCCTCCCTGCCTTCTGCCCTTAGTGACCTCTGACCTTTGAGCTCAGCTTCAGTGCCCGGTGGGCAGACAGAGAGTGGCTCGCAGTGCATGCACTCATGGATCCACAGAGCGCAGTACATTCCTGGCTGGCAGTGGCACTGGGTTTTCTGTTTGCTAGTGCAAGGTGCAGTCTCCTGGAAGCCCAGGACTTGTGGGGAGACAAGACAGCTCGGTTGTGGGGGGGGAGGGCTGCTCTCCAGGGGATCCCATCCCTCCCCAGGCACACCTCACTCACCCTGGTCACAGGGGCGGCACAGCTGGCAGTTAAGCAGATGGTTCCAGTGCTCGTTGTAGGAGTTTTCAGGGCACGTGGCACAAACTGTATCCTGAACACGGCTACATTCAGTGGCGATGTGAGTGCCTGGAATGTGAGTGGGCCGTAGGAGCGTCAGGGGACCAGAGTGGAACCCTTACTTCTGCCGCCTGCTGTGTGACCCTGGGCCTGCCCCTCTCGGTGCCTGCACGAGAGGGATGGCCGGTGCCTCTCACTGTCTCTGCCAGCTCGTTTTTTCCGGGGAGACGGTGTCTCCCTGCCTGCGGAGGCAGCGAGGTGGACAGGAGTCCCCTGGAACCCGCCTCCCTGTCCCAGGCTTCCTCTGGCCAGTGCCTCTCACCTGGGGGGCAGCGGGAGCAGCAGGCCTGATGCTTGGGTTCGTAGTATTCCTTTTCCTGGTCCGGGCAGGTTTGGTTCTCCGAGTGGTATGGGGGCAACTTCAAGGGGAGATGGATACGGGGGAAGAATTATTCAGGGGCCAGCTGGGGAGGGCAGAGAGGCCAGGGAAGGAGCTGCCCTTATCCAAACCAGCACCCACCCACCTGCATGGCCCCTCCCTCACCAGTCGGGGCTGGGATGCTGTCAGGAGCCCGCAGAGGCCTAGTAGGAGCGGCCCCCAGGCCAGGCCGCAGGGGGAGGCCCGCAGCGGGCACATGGCCGCCAGTCCTGCCGGGTGGAGGCCTGGGGGTAAGGTGAGAGGCCTGGCCCTTGGGGCAGTGGGGACAGCAGCCTCCGGAGCCCGGGCCTGGGGCAGGACTCAGGCCGAACTGCCCCGGGGGGCCAGAGCGGCGGGGCTGGCCTGGCCTCCAGGGCTCCAGCGTCAGGCTCAGGAAGTGGGAGTGGAGCTAGCTGGCCACGGGGCGGGGACAGGGAGCTCTGGGAGCTGAGGCCTCTGTCGCAATCGGGAAGAGGAACAGGCTTGGCTGCCCTGCTGCAGGGCGGGAGGGGGCAGCCGGGAAAGCACGTGAGGGCAGCCGGGGCCGGAACCAACCTCCTCCCTTCTTCGGAAGCCCGGCTGGGAGACGGCTGCAGGGGCAGACCCAGATGGAGGGAGAGGGGCAGCAGAGCCAGTGGACAGTCCTCAGATGGGCCTCAAGAGGCTGGCTGGGGCAGAGCTGACTAGAAGAGATGGAGTTCCGGGTGCCAGATCTGAAAAAATGGAGTGCCTGGGACTGCCAGACACAGAGGGTGCAGAGCCCCCCAGACTGGCCGCTGCACAGCCAGCCAGACATGCAGCATCTGGGAACCAGAAGTCCTGGATGCAGACTGTCTGGACACCTGGGTTCCTGCCCCGTTGTGTGGCTTTTTAAGATAAATTACAAAGGAATAACAAACTAGCCAGTCCTCCCCTCCCCTGATCCAGCCAATCCCCACATTGATGGGCACAGGTCACCTACAAGACAGTGCAGAGGGCACAGCCCCAGCTCCCCTGTCCTCAGAGGAGGGAGAGGACAGGAGACAGATCGTCAGGAGCAGGGCAGTGTGGGAGACTTTGAATCCCTTTGAACAGGATGGAGCTGAGGGTGCACCCAGTCCAGCCCCCTCACCTAAAGGATGAAGACTGAGGCTCAGGTGGAAGAGACCAGGACTCCGGTAGGGCTTAGTCCAGTGCTGTCCTTTTTCTTTCTCCCACGAACAGTGCCCCTGGAGTGACTTGCAGTAGCCTGCCCTCCACCCCCTATGTCAGGCTTTCTGTCTCTGAGCTTCTGTGCTCCTGGCTAAGTCCCACCTGTCCTTGAGGTTCCCGGGGCTCTGGGCAGCACGCCCATTCCAAGCTGCGCAGCTCCACTCAGGCTGCTCGCTGTGACCTGGCTTACGGCGGGCCCTGCAGCGGCCTGGGCGGGATCTTTACGTCTGGGTTCCCAGTGTTTAGTCTGACACCCCACGTGTCCAGTACATATTTATGGGTAAAGGAATGAGGCCTTGCCCATGTCACATAGCCAGCCCTAGAGTTCAGGACTACCGATGTCTGGGCCCCAGCTCATTCCAGCAACCGCACTGCCTCCTTGTGACGCAGACTGCCGCTCTTCCTGTGAGGGGCTGACTTCCTCTCTTGAGGTAGGTCACCTGGGCACTGTCCCCGCCCTCCACCCTGGAGAGCTCAGTTCAGGGCTTATCGTACCCTGGTTGATCTGACTGGCTGGACAGGCTGTAGGGGATGGACCTGAGAAGTCCTGGTGCAGGAGTGCACCTGAGGGGGAGGGTTCACACAGGGTGAGGGGGTGAGGGTTGGGGGAGGAAGACTCACAGGATGAAGGGTTTGCCTGAACTTAGACACTTCACCCACCTTTCCTGGTGCAGACCTGGGCCCGCACTCTGCTGCGTTTGTACAATAGTGCAAGGCCCCCTGGAGAGAGAAGAAATGCCAGAACAGCATGCACTGCTCAGGGTGCAGTTACTTCCAGGTCAAGGGAATTGGGGGCCTCGACCAGGATTATCCACTGAGCTCTTAAGTGTGTGAAAGCGTATGTGTGTAGTGGCCTTAGATTCTTTTTTCATTTTACTTTTTATTGTGGAAATCCACACATAAATATACATATACAAAAAGAGAGAACAATGGCATTGTGAACTCCCAGCTTCAACTCAGGGCCAGTCTTATTCTTCCATATAATTCTCCCCCACTCATCTAATCTCCCCCTTAATTATTTTGAAGCAAATCCCAGACATATGTGTCATTTTGTTTGAAATTACTTCAGGATTTTACTCTAAAAGACAGTAATTCTTTTTTCTTACGTATGCAGATCAAAGACCTACACTTTTCCATATCCCATGTATCTCCCCAGAATGTTTTCTGCATGTCCTTTCTAGACAATGCTCCCTGCTTCACAGGAGGCACTATCCAGCTGGCTGAACTTCATCCTTCTTTCTGCTGCCAATCTTATGCTCTCACTTCAGCCTGCAATGACTCTCTGCATCGTAAGGAAAGAGCCCTAAGAGATGAACTTTAATCCTTGCCTCTTCACTTCACCTCTCTGAGGCTCTTTTATTTGTTCTACTCAATGGCTGGTTTCCTTGCAGATCTGTTCTCTGTTCTGAGCTGTATCACTACTGGGAACTACATTTCCCAGACTCCTTTTCCCCCTTGCTGCTGGATAGGGTAGGAAGACAGGTAAGTGGAGGACAGGTGGGTGGGAAGAGAGAAGAAGCCAGGCTCTTTCTCCACCACCCTCACCCCACATTTGCTTTCTAACATTGCCTGCAGTTGGCTGTGTTTCTTCCTTCTCTTCTTCCATAATCCTATGTCCTACCAGGCAGCCCCTACTGTTTAGTTCCTGGCAAATAGCTCTGGAGGCTTTTGGGTCTATAATGTGACATTAATTACCTTGTTGTCTTTCCAGCCCTCGAGATGATAGCTGCTTCCTGCTTTGCTGTTTTCTAGGTTGCCTCACTGTCTCCTGTTGGCTCCTCCATCAGCCATACCAGTTCCCTGTGTTAAATTTCTTTTGTTTGAAAGATTAGAGTGTTTCCTGTTTCCCCGGCTAGACCATGATTGACGAATCTTAACAATACATGCTTTTTATGCCTACCCAACCTTCTTCAAGAGGATGAAGGGAGACTCACAGTAGTGAGGAATCCATGAATTCTTTGTAACCAGGGCATTGTCTCTGCTTCTTCTCTTTCATGGTCTTCACCAGTTTCCTTGAAGTGTTACTGGTTTCCACTGGGCAACACCAGCCTCAGACTAAGGGCCCCATAGACCCTCAGAATGCAGGTGGGTGGGTGGGTGGGGCACTTCTCCCAAGCCTTCTTTGGAGGAGATTGCTGAGTGAATCTTCTTCCCACAGGCCCATGAAGAATCCAAAAGAGAGTTGATGAGAATTCATTCAGACCCAAGGGTCTGTAAACACTGAAAAATGTGTAATTGATGAGCGTTGTCCTTCTCTATAGCATTTCCGCTTACACTGGGGGACAATCCCTTAGCCCAGTCATCTCAACTAGGGTGACTTTGTCCCCCAGAAGACATCTGGCAACATCTGGAAAGGTTGATTGTCACAATTCAGAGGGTACTATGGCATCTAGTAGGTAGAGGCCAGGGATGCTGCTAAGCATCCTATAGTGCACAGGACGGTACTTCCCATGATCATGAATTGTCTAAATGTCAATAGAGCCAAGGTTGAAAATTCCCACCTTCACCCCAAGGAATAAGCTTGTAATGGTGAACTTCTATGCATCCTTCCAGGTGACTGTACTAGGAGTGGCCAGAAGGGATTTCCTGGGACATCATTTTAGATTAAAGAGAAATTCACCCTATATAAGTGCAGATAAAAGGACCACTTTTCCCCACACTGGGGTGGCCACTGTGGAGAGGCTACTTATCTCTAAGTTTTAAAACTAAAGAGTTGCACTTCAATGAATGACACATTTTTACCCTAGGAAGGATACAGGCTGAAATGGAAAAAGTGAATAAAATATAGATAAATTAATAGACCACAAATGAATGGCTTACCAGAGGAAACTAAGATGTCATATATGTCACTCTCAGTCAAAAATGAACCTGGGGCCTTAGCCCAGATGCTAATTTTGGTGTCTTTTGCACAGTGGGTCAGCAAGTAGGGCCACCAAGATGAAAATGCTTGGTGCCTGACTTCAGAGAACTCAGAATATGACCCATGCATGAGTAGATGCACAAATGCACACACCAGGATAATAACAGTATGCAGACATAAGTGCTGCAATCGTGTTTTAAAAAAGGCTCTGTCTGGAAGTGTGGTGGAGAAAGTGGTTTCTTCTATAGTCTCCTGTTCCCCAGAGAACAAGAGGCAGGAAGACCCTTTGAACTCATAACCCTCATCCCACTATAGACCCTGTTGTTTCACTTCTCTCCCTGAAGGCTGTGCACATTTTATGGCCACACCACAGGGTTAGAGTATGGCTGGTGTTGGGTGAGAGAAGGCAGCCCTGCAGGAAGGGAAGGGCTGGAGCTCTGAGAGAGGCTGGGGTAGCTTCCAAGACAAAGTCTGCAAGCCCCCAGGTCCCCACAGAGCAAGACTCTGCTTCTCCGGAAGTTAGGGGAGCGGCATTGAGCTTGGCGAGGGGAGGCTCGGCTCTCAATCTGGCCCCACTGAAACCCCTGGGTGACTGTGGGCAAGTTGCTTTGCTTCTCTGGGCTTTTCAGTTCCCTCATGTGTGAAGCAAGCAGCTATTTGCAGAGTCAGCTGGGAAGGGCCTTTGCAACCGTCTGGGCTGCTTTATCCGCTCGCTCCTGCCATTTTGTTTTTCAGAGAGGTCAAGTGTCATTTTCAAAGTCACATACAAAATACACATGCGTGCACACACACACACACACACACACACACACACACTATTGATTTCAGAGAAGAAGGCAGAGGGAGAGAGAGAGAAACATCAATGATGAGAGAATCATGGATCAGTTGCCTCTTGCCCGGCCCCTACTGGGGATTGAGCCCACAACCCGGGCATGTGCCCTGACTGGGAATCGAACCCAGGACCCTTCAATTCACATGACCAACGCTCTATCTGCTGAGCCAAACCAGGTAGGACCACACACAGAGTTTAAAGGCAAAAATGGAACTCAGAATATATGAGTGCATGGTAGAGGGAGGGGTCAATGGGGGAAAAAACGAGGGCATCTGTAATACTTTCAACAATAAAGGTAAGTTTTAAAAAATACATGCAAGTCTGTACAGGCATAAAAAAGATAGAGATGGATACACCAATTACACTGGCTTCCCTTGGCTGAGGGGTGGGAAAGGAATGGGCCAAAGAGAAGCTTTCGTTGTTCTGCTCACTTAGGCATTATTGGAAAATCATATTGCCACAAAAAAATGTACTTGGGTGTTTTTGCACTTGGAAAGATAACATTTAAAATGGAGCTATGACAAAAGTGCAGGTTTCAGATTTCTGTTTTTCTCCTAACAACAAGCTCGCTCTGGCCAGTTCCAGATCCGGGCTGCTGCGGTCTCTGAGCTGCCATCCTGTCCCTGGCAGGCGGCTGCAGGGACACCGCACTCCTGCTCAGCCCAGACCCGGCCCTTGCAGTTCTCCTCCCAGAGCTCTTGAGAGGAAAACTATTTGCTTGTGCTTCCTAAGCCAGCTGCTGGGGTTTCAGGCAGCACATGGAAAAGGCAGGGGGTGTCTCTCAGAACCTTTGAGATCAAACAGGCAGGCTACAGCCATCCTATCAGTAGATGGGATTGTCCCTACATTAAGGACCTGGGTTGAGGGAGAATGGAGCTTCTGGGGGTGTCATGGGAAGGTGGGGACGAGGTAGAGAGCTTTTTACAGGGCCAGGCAAGTGACCCAGGACCTGCTGGTGAATCCATGGACTGTGTGTAAGTGTGGGAACCTCCCTGGCTTTCAAAACTAGGGCCAGGGTAGCCCGGAGTCTGTGGCTAGTCCATCTCTGGGAGTAAATGGCAAAAGCCCTAAGTAGACAAACCTCACACAACTGGCTTATTTCTGTGGAGGGTCAGTTGATTCATCCGGGAAATGAAGAAAAAGCCAGGCTTTCCCTTCTCAGCTGGGTGTCCCGAGCAGGCATCAGAGGGAAAAATGGGACTGGGTTTGGAATCCTGGTTGACAGTAGCTCTCGCTTTAAGAGGTCACAGAAACTGCCCAGATAGAAAGCAGCCTGCTTGTATTCTGAGCCTAGAGTTCCCAGCTTCCCTCTTCTTTGCCTGCTGAAGTCCCTGTTGTTCCTTACGACACTCAGCTGAGATGCCACCTTCTCCAGGAAGTCTTCCTGACTCTGTCCAGGCTAGATCCTCTCCTTCCCTCCCCAGGCTCACTAAGCCCAGGACTTTTATCTCTGCTACTGGAATCCTCATCTTACTCTATTGCAGGCCTGTCTTCTCCCACCTGTATCAGTGCCTGTGCTGGGCACATCGGAGGGATGCAAGGAGGAAGGAGAAGCCAGGGAGCACACTCGGGGCTGCCTGCTGAGGGTCCACAAGGGGCCAACCTCTCGCTGTCACAGGGGGCCTGGGCTGTGCGGATGGGTGTCCTGTGCCTGTTTGGACCCTCTCATTGGGCCTGATTCTCTGACCCTTCCCTCTCTGCTTGGCATTTTGCTGTTTATGCTCTTGCTGGATTCAGTTTGGGCAGAGACTTTGGAGGAAAAGCCCCTACAATGAGCACTTCCTTCCTTCCTTCCAGGGCTGGTGTAGACTTGGCCATCCTGCCCTCTTCCTCCCAGACACCCCCTGATACCCACATCCCTCCCTGCCCCCTCAGTGCCTGCTGTCCCTGGGCTCCAGGTCCCTGGCCTAAGTGCCCCTGCCTGTCCCCTACCTGCCTCTCAGTGCCCACATTCCTGCAACCCCGTGACCACAACAGGGGACATTACACATTCCTGGTCTGGCAGCCAATGGTGTAAAAAAGAACAGAATGTCCCAGGGCCCCGCCTAGCCCCCAGCTTCACCTGGGCCCCACCCTGGCCTGGACAAGGTAGGGGGTAATGGCGAGGAGTCAGGAGGGAAGAGGATAAGCCAGGGGGGAGCAGAGAGGAGCTTCGTGCTGAGTGCCAGGAGGTGCCCCCATAGAATCCTCTCCACCACCTGGGGGGTGAGGCTGACCTGTGGGTGCCCTTGGAGGGACTCCCCGGGGAGGGGACCCAACTCCTGAAAGCCCACGTGAGGCTCCCTCCATTGCTCTCCTACAGGGGAGGGGAGAGTCCCTTTGGGGCTGGCTCCCTCCTCTTCACCTTCCTCTCTCTGCCTCTCCTCCATGCCCCCTCCCAGCCCTTTATTCTGTCCTGCATCTGTTCCCTTTTTCTGTCTTCCCTGCTCTCCTGGTCTCTCTCCCTTCATCTCACTGTCCTGGCTTGTCCTTTTTCCTCGTTTCTGCCCTCCTTGCTTTGTGTTCAGGATCCTTCTCCCCAGTCAAGATTTCTGACTCTCCCTTGCCATTCTGTTTCTTGCCTGCCAGCTTCCTATCACTCCCCAGGCTGACTCTGCTTCTCTGTCCCTACTCCCAGGTCAGCCCTCGGGAGTCCTCCTCCTTCTAGTTCTTGCAGCTCGGACTCCTCCTCTGACCGGCCCCTCCTCCCCCCCCTGCCCTGCTCACCTTTAATTGAGATGCTAATGAGGCTTCTGTTGCTTCCACCCCGGCCAGCGGGCGGGCTCCCAGGCCGGTCTCTGCACCTGTCAGGTGAGGGGGAGGAGAGGCTCTCAGCTGCCAGATTCAACTAGAAAGGAACCAGTCCCGGTCCAGTCACACTTGGGAGTGGGGAGCAGGTGGCAGCCAGGACTCCTGGAGTCCTGCCATCCTTGGGCACCTGGGACAGAGGGAGTCAGGACACAGCCCAGGAGCAGGACAGGAGACTGGAGGAGAGAGCCTGGACTGAGAGGGGAGACGGGGAAGAACGAGGAAGAGAGGCAGGATCAGAGAGCTTGGCACACAGAGGAGCTGGGTGAGGAAGGAGAGAGTAGGGAAAGAAACCCAAGAGAAAGAGAGAGAGAGGGGAGGAAAGGAGAGAGAGAGACCAAGAACGGGACGGACTACTAAGCAGAGGCTGATGGCTGAGGAGAAGAAAAGGGAGGTTCTGGGACTGAAACCAAAAGGTGACCTTATCAGGGAAGCAGAGGAGAGGCCACTCCAGCGAAGCCAAGCTCCAGCTCTGGCCCTGGCTCCAGCAGGTCAGCTGGCTCCTGGGCAGGTGGGGGGAGGGAGGAGTGGGATGTGGGCATGGCCTGGAGCAGCCTCTCCCTGGGGTCAGGCTGATGATGGGAAGGGCACTTGGAGCCCAGAGCTCTGCCCTGACCCTGACCCTGACCTTCCACAACTCACTCAAGGGCTCATGAAGGGAGACAAGTGTGAGGAGCCGGGGCCGGACCCCAAGTCCGCGGCCCCCCAGCTGCCCACGGAGGAGGAGGAGGCCCTGATCGAGTTCCACCGCTCCTACCGAGACCTGTTCCAGTTCTTCTGCAACAACACCACCATCCACGGCGCCATCCGCCTGGTGTGCTCCCAGCACAACCGCATGAAGACGGCCTTCTGGGCCGTGCTCTGGCTCTGCACCTTTGGCATGATGTACTGGCAGTTTGCCCTGCTGTTCGAAGAGTACTTCAGCTACCCCGTCAGCCTCAACATCAACCTCAACTCCGACAAGCTGGTCTTTCCCGCTGTGACCGTCTGCACCCTCAATCCCTACAGGTCAGTTGCGCCCACCCCCTTCCCCCCCACACCACTTCCTGGTGCCTGCCAGGGTAGCGCAGAGGGTACCGAGGTGCCCACTGGGCAGGCAGACCCTCAGGCCCAGGGGTAGAAGCCAAAACTGTCCCCAGGCAGGCCTCCCTTGGGGCAAGATTGGGAGCTCCCCACTTACTGGGCTGGCGGGTTCATTCTGGTAGAGCTTTCCTAGTGCCCACCGCTTATTCTAAGTGTGGTTGTTGGACCACCAGTGCCATCCTCCTCCCTTTCTCCCGCAAGCAGTAGGGGGCGCAGGTGAGGTCAAGATGCTGCTAACTTCCCAAAGGGCAGGTTGGAGGTCATCCCCATTCTTTCCCTGGAGGGAGAGGAGAGCAAAGACCAGGGCCTCCTCCTCCCCAGAAGAACCTGTCTCAGGTGCTGTGGCGTGGGTGGTGGGAGCGGGCAGGGCCTAGACTCTGCTATGTCTGTCTTGGGTCAGACGGGGAGTTGGTGTTGGAGAAAGCAAAATGAGGGATGGCGGCAAAACAATGGTGAGCCTTGGGATTGGGGGTGGAGAGTTAGGGAGCCGGTAGGAGAATGGGACAGGATAGCTGTTCCCCTTTCCCCTAGTCCAGCTGGTCACCCAGAGACCCAGGCGAAAACTGGGAGGTGACCCCTGCCCAGGAACCTGGGTGTGTCCTCAAGTTTTGGGTTTCACCAGTGCTTTTTGCCAACGTTTGGTCTGGAGGCCAGAGGGGGTGGTGAAGTGTGGAGAAGAAAGGAGGGTGCGGCTGGGTGTTTGTTTGTACCTTGTATTTGTGGTCACTCAGTCATGCAGCACGGTGGGAACCCCTGCCACCAGCCATTCACAGCGCGAGGCACCTGGCAAACGGGCTTCTTAATAACGCGTACCATTTTCATGGAAGGCCAGGTAATTTGCTGGGTCCTGGGAAAGAGAAAACAGCAGCGCTGGGCATATAACTAGCAGCGCACTGTGCTAGTTATTGTAAAAATTGTGTGAAGTCTAGTCTCTACGTTCAAGGAGTGGAAGATTTATGAGTGCGTGTGTTAGCAATTGTGTGAGTGTGTGGATGTGGGTGAGCAAACAAATTGGGTATGCGTGCAATGGAGGACTGGGTTTGGTCACATGTTGGTGGTGAAGGTCCCCATATATATTCTGTTGTATCCAAAGGTGTGTCTTGGGCTAATAAGGGTTGGGACGTTCTGTCCTGCAGAGAAAAAACTGCTGGGCTGTTTGTAGAACGTCCAGGGTAAGGGGCCATTTCCTAGGAAGCTGCTTTTACTACTGAGTCCTCTACAGGCCCTTCCTTTAATTCTCCTAACGATCCTCCAAGACAGGTATAACTAATACTCCACTGTACACTTGAGGAAACGGAGGCAAAAAGAGACAACTCACAGGGCCACAGAGATAGTAACTGAGCTGTGACTGACTCTCTGTTTGCCTGATCACAAACCCCTACCTCTTCTCAATACCCAAGATGCAGGATGTAGAATAAATGAAGTTTCCTGAGATGTTTACATGCCATTTCCCAGCTCTTTATTATTCCTCCATCAGCCTCATTTCTTGTCCCTAGCTTTGCTCTTCTTCTTCTTGGCCCTCTGTCGCTCTCCTGACCTAACCCTTCCCCTATTTTCCCCACCCCTCATGCCTCTGGCCTCAGTGGAGAGGAGGGACATTGGACTGCTCTGAGCCAGCAGGGAGGAAAGGGCTAGCAAGCAGGAGGGACAACAGGCAGAGTAGTAGGGGCTCCACAAATATTGTGGTTGAAAGATATAGGTGAGAAATGGAGAGGGCAGGGGTGAATCTGTTGAAGTAGGTCTGCATATTTTCTAAGGTTCTGTTGGGTGCAGGCCCTGGACAGTCCAAGAAAAAGGCTCAGAGAATGAAAACCAGAGCCTCTGACGCCATGTGCCTGAAGGCTGGGAGACAGGCACCCATACAGAATGAATCCCTTGTGCCCCACCGGTGTGGCTCAGTGGTTGAGCACTGACCAAGAGGTCACGGTTTAGTTCCCGGTTAGAGCACATGCCCAGGATGCAGGCTTGATCCCCAGTAGGGTTCATACTAAAGGCAGCCCATCAGTGATTCTCTTTCATCAATGAGGTTTCTATCTCTCTCTCCCTCACCTTTCCTCTCTGAAATCAATTTAAAAAAAAAAGATAAAAAGAAAAAATCCCTCGTGCACGATGGTCTGAGCTGCTGCAGGGCCTAGTGGAGAGAGCACCCAGGAAGGGAGGGGGAAGGTTATTGAATACCTAGTATGTGCTCAACCTGATACTGGATGCTTTACAAGCACTATCTCAGTTAATCCCGACAAGCCCACGGAGGCAGGCATTATTATTATTTCCATTTTGCAGATGAGGAAATGGAGGAGAAACAAAATTGAGCAAGGCCACTCAGCAAATAAAGTAACAACAAGAGCTAAAACTTATATAGACTTATTATGTGCCAAATTAAATTCTACATTCATTATTTAATCCTCAGCACAGACTTCTGAAGTAGGTACCAGTATTGCTCTCATTTTATAGAAGAGGAAACTGAGGTTAAATAACTTGCTCAAGTTAACACAGGAAGCAGGTAGTAAACCTGGGATTAAAAAACAATCCCCCCGCCCCCAACCCCAGAAGCCAGTGCCTCCCAGATTAGCAGCTGAGTAATAAACCAGCTTGATTTCAAAGCTCTTTCTTCCATTGCACTTTAAGGAGGGGCCAGGTAGAGGCCTCCAGTGGGGGGTTAAGGGGGTGTGGAGGAGGATGGGCAGCTGGTGAGAGTCCCTGGGGAACAGCAGCAGTAAGAGGAGGGGGTACTAGTCAGGAGTACAGGAGGGAGGGTTCTGGCTTCTGTTCAAGGAGAGAGGCAGGGGTGGGTGGATGAGTTAATGCAGCCTGGTAGGTAGTGACCCAAGTGTGAATCATGCCGGTGGCAGGTGCAGGAGGCAGAGATGAGGTGAATGGCTCCGACAAGGGAAGAAGGGAGGAGGCGGAAATCAGTAGACAAGGTAACCAAATGAGGCAAAATCAGACCAGGGATGCCCACTTGGCAGCTGGGTGGGGCCCGCAGAGAGGGAGGAAGAAGGAGGAGGTGCAGGATTCTGTGCTGCTTCGTAACTTCCAGGAAGGGGGATAAAGGCTAAAGACCTACCACTCTGAGCAAGGATGTTCTAAGAGTCCAAGGTAAAGGGTCAGCCACGGTGGCTCCATTCTTTCTGGCCAACACAGGAGAGGGTTTTGTTTACCCAAGAGACAGGGCCAGTCTTCCCATCAATGGAAAACAGAGAACATAATTTTTCATCCAATTCTTAGAAGGACTTAGGCTTGAGCTATGGAATGACTTGAGGTTCTTAACAATGAAGGAGGTCATGGAATCTCTCAGCAGGAGGCAGGGCAGCAGGAATGAGGTGAGGAGGGGGACAGTTCCCCAAAGGGAGAAGCTGCAGGGAGGGCGGGCAGGGATCTGAGCTGGGTCTTCCTGTCCCTACCTGGTGGGGAGACCTGCACTTTCTTCAGGACCCAGAAACCAGTCTGGGTGGCAGGCCTACCAGGGACAGAAACCCAGATCCTTAAAGCCGAATCCTCCCACTGTCCTCTCAGTGATGGGCTCAGGAACCTCACTATCTCTGGGAAGCTGCTGTAAGAAAGTTCTTCCTCAGTTAAAGCTGCAGCTGACCTCATGATAGCAACTACCTTCTGGTCTCAGTCCTGTCTCTTTGAAGCAACCCTAGAGACATCGCCTCCTTCTTTACCCAGCAGTCATCAACTCCAGTGCCCCTAGGAGAGCAGAAACTGTGCTGCAGCTTGCAAAGTCCACTATTGCTTTCTTTTTGATCCTCGTAACCAGCTTGTTAGGTGAGGAGGGAAATATCACCCTCGAGTCAGATGAGAAAAAGGAGGCTCAGACATCACCTTGCTGCTAAGTGGAGGGGTCAGAATTGGAATCTGGTCTTAGGCCCCACTTTTGTTAAGACCAGAGTCACATGATAGATGCCTGGCAGGCAGTGCTCCTATGCCTCCTTAGCGTTTTCTTCTCAATCGTAGCAATGGTAACAGTGATGATAATGAAAACAACAGCTGCAGTTGTACAGTACCTCCTCGGCCGGATGTTTTGAGCTGTACTCTTCACGAGTTAGCTCATTTCATCCCATGCAACAGGTCCTATCAATACTCCCATGTGTATAGATGGTGAAACAGAGGCACAGAGAATAAGTAACTTCTCCAAGGCTAACCATCTAATGTGGCAAGGCAATGAGCCTGGTTAGAACGTAGCTCCTGTGTCTTTCCTCTGGATGGAATAGTTTCTAGAGCTCTCACTACCCTAGTCGTCTATCCTCTGAATAATCTTTGGTTTGTGAGCATCTATTACTCTTAAAATGTCATAGCCAGGCCTGCTTCCACATATGATCTGAGAGCTCAGAACCAACTCTGGGGCTCACAGGTGAGGAGATACTATGAACACAGGGGTGCAGGCTGAGTTCATATAGGGGCCACGGTGGAGGGAGCATGTCTCCCAACTTGGGAGACAGGTTGGAGGGTGCTGAGATGTGGAGGAGAATGGAGCTGGGGAAGGGCCCAAAGAAAGGGAAGTGAAGACTTCTAGGTGATCCCTGGAGGAAGGAGGGAGTGCGTAAGTCCCCAGATGCACATGGCAGGGGAGGAAGCTGGTGAGTTTCCAGTGCCCAGTCCTGTCTCGTACTTCCACAATGCTGACTGAGAGTGCTCAACTAGGGGCTGCCTGGTGGGCGGGTGTGTGGGATGAGGGTTTGGGCTAACCCCAAGGTTGCCTGTTGAGCATGAGGATCATGTGAGAGGAGATCACCCAGGGGGAAGAGGGAGGGAGGAGGAGACACAGATAGGAAGAGAGCAGGGTATCAGCCCCAAGTCTCCCAGTATCCCTGACCCTGCCAGTATGTCCTGGTGGAGAAGAAGGGCTGAAGGAGAGATGGCCAGTTGCCAGGAAAGATTTTGCTGCCCAGTCTTAAGTGTTTCCAAGCCCTAAGGCAGAGTAGTAAAAACAGCTGGGGTCATGGAGTCCAAAAAAGCTGGGGTCATGTATTACTCCCTGTACGTCCTAGCTGAGTGACCTTGGGGGAAGTTGCCTGGTTGATGGGCCTCAGGCCCCTCAAATATAAAATGGAGATAGTAATGCCTGCCTGATCGAACTGTGCAATGGTTTACACCCCCCTCCCAGCGTAGAGCTGCCAGAGCAGGTGAGAATGAGGGTGGTGTCCATGACCTGGGTAGGAGGTCAAGGTTAGAAGGGATGGACTGTCTTGCTGAAGCCCTCTTGTCTGCATTGTACCTCCATCAACCCTGGTTACTTCTCACTTGGGTCCTTCTTCTTGCAGGACATGATCTGATGTAATCATTAGTGTTTGCTCAGTGGGCAGTTTTTTTAGTGCTAGGTGTTAACTGAAAGGGAGGGAGAGTTTCTTTATTGAAGGGCTGATATGGGAACACTTCTTGCTGTCTCAAGCTAAATAAGGAGAGAGAAGTAGGCGCTGGGGAGTGGTGGCATTCTGTACTGAGTCTGGGGGCCTTGTCACAGGTGGGAGTCGAGGGGCTGGTCAGCAAAGGCCTCTATGGAAGAGGCAGGAGGGAGGCAAGTATGAGGAGGACCACTGACAGGTGAGCCTGGTATAGGCAGAGCATGCGCTCAATGGAGAAGAGAGATGTGGCTGGAGACGTGAGAGACAGCCTGGTGGTGATGAGAATGAGGGAGGTGCAGGAGGCCGGAGAGGGGCACAGGGGGACTTGAGACAGGTTGGGATGGGGGCCCAGGCAGGGATGTGAGGCTCATGTTAAGGAAATAACTCCTGCTAAGTTGGGGCACCTGGATTCTTGCAATGTGACTACAAGGAAGACATTTGGGCTTCTGGGTCCGGCCTGGGTCTTGCTGATATTTGATGGCCTCTTCACTTTGTGTCACTGACTATTTTCTCATTTAACCTCTGAAAGCTTCATATGTAGGCAGATTTAGTGTTAGGCCCATTTTACAGATGAGGAAATAGGCTGGATTCAGAAAGTATCCTTACCAACATCACACAGTTAGAAAGTGTGACTGGGACACCAGGACCCACATCCAGCCGACTAACTCTGGCTTCCTTCTGGGGCATCTTTATACCTTCCTAAAATAGCCAGAGCTAGTAAAGTGAAGGGCAGTGTGATGGTTAGAGAGCTTTCTGACGCACGTCCGCATTGTGTGACCTTGAACAAGTCACCTGCCTCAGGTTTTTCATCTGTAAAAGGGAATGGCAATAGTATTAGCTAACAGTGGCTAATAGTATGCTGCATTACTCTGAAGATTACATTAAATAATGTACATTCTAATACCACAGTGCCTATCTTAATAAGTACTAGCTATTATAGCTATTCTTTTAATTACCAGTAACAAAAAATCTCTCAGAATATCAAACACACACCTTTAACCTGAGCTACATTTTTTCCTATAAAGGGATGAGGCTGCAGCTGGAGCTGCCAGAGGTCTTTATATTTCAGGAAGAGTTCTTCCTTAGATATTTATTCTCCAAATGTCTGTCTGCTTATCCCAAGGTCATGAAGAGTATATATATTTCCCCCCACCACCCCTCTCTCTCTCTCTCTCTCTCTCTCTCTCTCTCTTTCTCTCTCCTAGAGTCTTTATGGTTCTGAATTTTATGCTTAGGTCTATAACTTAATTTTTGTGTATGGACTGAGGTAGAGGTTGAAGTTCATCTCCTCCCCCCCCCCCCACTGCCTGCTCCCGTACAGTGTACAAATTGTTCCAGCACCGAATGTTTAAAAAAAAATTATTTTACTGCTTCATCTGGTATGGCTCAGTTGGTTGAGCGTTATTCCATTCACCAAAAGGTCACTGGTTCCATTCCTGGACAGGGCACTTACCTAGGTTTTGGGTTCCATCCCAGGCCGGTGTGCGTGCAGGAGGCAACTGATCTATTGCATTGATGTTTCTCCCTCTCCCTCTCCCTTCCTCTCTCTCAAAAATCAATAAACACACACACACACACACACACACACACACACACACACAAATTTTCCCCATTGAGGACTTTATTCTGTTCCATTGATCTACTGTCTATCCTTACATAAGTACTACACTATTTTGATTATTGTGGTTTTATAGTAAGTCTTAGAGTCAGGAAGAGTAAGTACTTCAATTCTGCTCTTCTTTTCTAAAATTTATTTTGGCTTTCTGAATTCTTTCCATTTTCATGTAAGTCTTAGGACCAGCCTGTCAATTTCTTTAAAAAATATTTGCTGAAGTTTTTATAGGGATTGTGTTGAATCTAAAGATATATTTGGGAGACATCTTAACTCCATTGAGTTTCTGATCCATCAACATATATAATTCCATTTTTTTTCAGTCTTTGCACTCAGTAGAATTTTTAGTGTAGAGGTTGGTCTTGCACATCTTTCATTACATTTATTCCTAGTATTTGATGTTGTTTAAGCTATTTAATATGGTGCTTTTATTATTTCATTTCCCAGTTTTTTGTTGCTAGTATGTAGAAATATGATCAATTTTTGTGTGTTGATGTTGTATCCTGCAACCTTGTTTAATCTATTAGATCTAGGTGTGTGCGCATGTGTGTGTTTTGTTTTGGAAGTTTCTATCCCTAAGGCCCTGCTGCTCTGTAGTTTCACGATAGAGATGGTAAGAGGATCAGTATTAGGAAGGAATGTGATTATTTATACTGCAGTGTTTAACTTATGGAGTTTGGGCTCCACCCAAAACTCATTAAAATCTAACCCTGGTGGGGAGGGGCAGCTAGTGGGCAGCATTGGTATTTTTTGAAGTTCCTCAGTAGAAGTGCAATTGAGAGCCCCTTGTTTAGAAGGTGCCACCCTCCCCTGAAGGGATCCGTGTGGGATGAGAGACGGGTCCAGGTCAAGCCCACCCCCTCCTCTGTCTTGGGAAAGGGTACACAGTTCCGGGTTCTCTTCTAGGCCGCAGCGAGTGGGAGGACAGCGCCTCATCGACAGGCGCCGCCCGCCTCTCCCTTTCAATAAACAGGACACTGGCCGCCATAAATGCCGTCACCGCTGGGGCTCACCTTCGCCTCCGCTAATCCTGGCGGACACACCTGTCCACCCCTTCCCCCCGCCCCAGCCTCCTTGCAGTTACAGACGAGGAAACTGAGGCCCAAAGGCCAGGCATTCGCGCGAGGCCGCCCCCTACCTAGTCCGACCCTTTCCCCATCGCCCCTCCAGGTACACGCAAATCAAAGGGGAGCTGGAGGAGCTGGACCGCATCACGGCGAAGACGCTCTTCGACCTGTACAAATACAACTCCTTTAACACCCTCGGGGGCCATCCCCGCGGCCGCCGCGGCCTCCGGGAGGCCCTGCCGCACCCCCTGCAGCTCCTGGGGGACCCGGACTCGCCCCCCGCGGCCCGCAGAGCCCGCAGCGCGGCCTCCAGCATGCGGGACAACAACCCCCAGGTGAACTGGAAGGACTGGAAGATCGGCTTCAAGCTGGTAAGGCCCCGCCCCCGGTCGCCGCAAGCCCCGCCCTTACGTCACCAGACCCCGCCCACACCGTCAACAGGCCCCGCCCCATCACGCGCAGCCCAGACCCTTCCGGTTCCGCCCACGCCCTGTACCGCGCGCCCTTTCCCAACCCGCCTCTGTTGGCTTGTGACGAGGTGGTGGCTCGCCAGCTTGATGTCAAAAGGAACGTTTTGAAAAAATAAACGAAATGACATCTCTCTGAGCGCCAGCTCGTGGGGGTTTCTCCTCTCTGGGGGCTTCTGTGGGAGCGTTTAGGTGGGCGGAAGTCAAATCTGCTATGGAAAATGCCCCTTTCTGAAATACAGGTCCCACCCATGGGATTTATTTGGGTACCTCCAGTGTGATAAGAAACCGGGGTATTGCAGGTCTCAGGCAGAGAATACGGAGACAGTGAAAACGCAGACTTAAGATTTGTTTTAATAAAAAAAAAAAAAAATTTATCACCCTGAATTCGCCCAGATCTCTTCTCTACAAAAGAAAAGAAAAAGAAGAGAGAGAGAAAAAAAAAAAAAGAGAGAGAGGAAGTGGGAGAGCAGCTGGGGTAGGAAGGAGAAGCTTCCTTTAATCATAGTAGCTAGGCCTAGCTCTATTGCTGGGACAAACCTGTTGATCCCTCAGCCTTCCTTCCCATCAGTGAAATGGGGAGAAGTCCTTGCAGAGACTGTATAAATGCTAGCTCCTGGTCTCCTCGGGCTCCCACTCCCTTAATCCCATGCCCTCTGGTCCACTCTCCTCCGGGCTTCTGCTCCTCTCTGCCTTCTGTTCTGGTCTACACCTGGCTCCCCACTCCGGTCTGTCAGTCCTTAGGACCCCAGGCCATTCAATCCTTGATCTTGGCCCTGCCTTGCTGCCTGACCCCTGCTGCTGGCCCTCTGACGCTCTGGTCTCTGTTTCCAGTGTAACCAGAACAAATCCGACTGCTTCTACCAGACATACTCATCAGGGGTGGATGCGGTGAGGGAGTGGTATCGCTTCCACTACATCAACATTCTGTCGAGACTGCCAGACTCCTTTACGTCTCTGGAGGAGGACAAGCTGGGCAACTTCATCTTCAGCTGTCGCTTCAACCAGGCCTCCTGCAGCCAGGCGTGAGTCTGTCTTGCCTGCCTCTGTGCTACCCACCCACCATGTCTCCCTCCCAGAGCCAGCCTGAGGCCCAGCATGAGTGGCACCAGGAAATGCTTGTTGACTAAATAAATGCCTGTAAAGAGGAGATGCATTGATTTCAGGTCCAAACCTCTGTCTCAGGATCATTCTGCAGGACTTCTGCTACTCCCTGCAGGGCTGGGTCTGAGTGAGGTAGCCTCAGATAGCTGCCCTGGGAAGGTTGGGGTTGAGGTCCAGCTTTGAGAAACCAAGGGCCGGAGGCATGGTTCCCTGTCTGTCTAAGGCCCTTTTCTCACTAGCATCAAACTCAAAAGATTTGCCCAGAAGGTTGTCTGGTTCCATCCCCCACTTTCTCAGATGAAATGGGCAGTAGTGTGGTGGACAGAGCATGGATTGAGTGAGGGGTTAAACCTGAGTTTCTGCTTTGACTCTGTTACTTCCTGACCAGGTGACTGGGCATTTCAAATCACTCTTCAGAACTTGTTTCTTTGTTTGTAAAATGGGCTGAAAATTAGATTTATTCAATGTTCATGCAACAAATAGTTTTGACGGTCTAGGCTATGTGTCAGTCACTGGTCTAGGCATTTGGGATGCATCAAAGAAGAAAATATATATAATCCTTGCCCTTTTGGCATGTTTACTCCAGTGATGAAGATGGTGATAACATACATCTCCAAGTGCATGAGATGTCAAATTCTAGGGAACTTAATAAACTACAATGAATGTTGGGTCTTATTACTCTGTACTCAAGCAGGAGAAGGGACTTGCCCTAGGCCACCAGGCCAGCCCTAGTTCAGGGATTCTTTCCCCCAGGGATTCTTTCTGTTAAGATTCCTGTCATAATGACCTTGTAAAAAGGTCATGGCAGCTGCTGGCTCTCTGAGGGCTGGGAGAGGCAAGGAGAAAGGGAAGTTTCCTTTGGCAGTCTCTGGCTCCTCCTACCCCCCACTTTTCCCTCCCTGATTCGGATCTTAATTTTCAGGTGCCCTCAACTCCTTGCCTCTGCCTGCCTGAGGAAGGGTGTTGAGGCAGCATTTCCACTCTACAGGGAGCCCTTCTCTGCCATGTTGCTGCTGAGTGGCAGCAGGGCCAGGTGTCACCTGCTTCTGCCTCCACCCCTCACCTGGCACACACACTCTGCCCAGCACACGATTTTGTTCCTGCCTCTAGTCTTGTGTTTGTTTGAGGACAGGAGCTACCAGCTGGGAAGTGAGACAGTAGCAGCACCTGAGCCTGGGTAGCTCACAACTGCCACCCAGTCTCTCTGTCTGTCACCTTCCCACTGATCCTTTCACTCTGCCTGTCCTATGCTCCTACCTGCCTGTCAATGGAAAGACCAAAGTTCATCTCAGTCCTGATGCTTAGGTCACTTCCTTAGCTCATTATTTCTCACCTAGGTTATTATCACCACCATCACCACCCCCTCCCAATTTGTCTTTCTGCCTCTATATCCTCTCTTCATTCTGTAGTCACCGGAAGCTTTATACTTCACTGTTCTTACTTCAATTCACTGTACTGAACTGTACCAGTTAGTGCTGTTTGATTCCTTCAACATCTCTCATGGCCTTCAGAATCAATTGAAGCTCTTTATTATGTTCTCATCCAACTCTTCTCCCCAATGTCAGGCACACTTTCCCCTTCTCTCAATCTTTTTTTCTTTATATATATTTTTTTATTGATTTCAGAGGGGAAGGGAGACAGAGAGATAGATAGAAACATCAATGATGAGAGAGAATCATTGATCAGCTGCCTCCTGCATGCCCCGCATTGGGGATTGAGTCCATAACCTAGGCATGTGTCCTTGACTGAATGGAACCCTGAGACCCTTCACTCCAAAGGCTGATGCTCTACCCACTGACCCAAACTGGCCAGGGCCATTACCACTAATTTTAGAACATCTTCACCCCAAAAAGAAACCCTGTACTTATTAGCAGTAATTCCCTATTCCCTCCTCTTCTCTAAGCCCTGGAAACCACTAGTCTGCTTTCTGTGTGTATAGATTTTCCTACTGTAGATATGTCATTTAAATGTATCATACATGTGTTCTTTTGTATCTGGCTTCTTTCACTTAGCACAAAGTCTTCAAGGTTCATCCATGTTGCAACATGTTTCAGTACTTAATTCCTTTCTGTAGCTGAATAATATTTCATTGTATGAATATACCACATTTTGTTTATTCCTTAACTGATGGACTTTTTGTCCCTCCCACCCCCACTTTCTGGCTATTATAAATAATGCTGCTATGAACATTCCTGTATAGGTTTTTGTATGGATATGTTTTTATTTCTTTTAGGTATATATCTAGGAGTGGGATTGCTGGGTCAAATGGTAATTCTATGTTTAACATTTTGAGGAACTGCCAGACTGTTGTGCAAGTGGTGGTGCCATTTTACATTCCCACCAGCAATATATGAGGGTTCTAAATTCTTCACATCCTCCATTTTGTTATTGTCTGTCTTCTGTTTTTTTTTGTTGTTGTTGTCTTTTTTAATTGATTTGAAGGGAAGGGAAAGGAATAAGGAGAGAGAGAGAGAGAGAGAGAGAGAGAGAGAGAGAGAGAGAGAGAGAGAGAGAGAGAGAGAAGAGGGAGAGAGGAATTTGTTGTTCCACTTATTACGAAGGCACTTGTTGATTCTTGTATATGTCCTGATTGGGGATCAAATGACAATCTAACCAACTGAGCTACCTGGCAAGGGCTGACTTTCACCATTTTAATAAATCCCTATAATGCTAATAGTAAACTTATATAGCTCTTCCTAAGTGCTAAGCACTGTTCTGAGAGTAATTTAATCCTCTTAACACCCCTGTGAAGTAAGTAATATTTCATTTTACAGATAAGAAACAGAGAGATAAAGTGATTTTGTTGTTCCCACAGCTAATATTATACTTGATAGAGCTATGATTCAAATATAAGTCATTTAGTTCTGGAGTCTGTGCTCTTCATGTTATGCTGCTTCTCATATATTCTTACAATGTATTAGTGTGTATCTTTTTGTATCTGTTTTTGTACAATGTGTATGTAACATAAATGGTGTGTTGTAGATCTCATTTAACCTCTTACTATTTTTCTCTTTTTACTAAGCTCTCATTTTAAGATCTATCCATGTTGCTCCATCTGCTTTGTTACCTGCTGCATAGAGTCCCTAGTGTGCATCCACCACATGGCACCTATCCCCTCCACCATTGAGCAAGGCTCACAGGCCCTTCAGCGCTGGCCTCTGCTCTCTTTCATAGTTTCCTCTTCTGTCCCTCCCTGAATCCACTCTTTGCTCTGGAAATGTTGACTTTCTAGTGCTTCCCAAAATGTGCACCAATATTTCATTCTTCAAGACCAATGGGATATTCCAGATTACCTTGTTTCAATCTCCTTATTTTACAATTAGAGGTCCAATGCAAGAGTAGGCCTTCCTTCCCCTGGCTGCCAACACCGGCTTTCCTCTGGCACCGGGACCAGGGCTTTCCTTGTAGCCCCAGCTTCATCTGGAAGGACATCTGGTATAATTAGCATATTATGCTTTTATTATTATAAACTAGAGGCCCAGTGCATGAAATTCTTGCACAGGGTTGGAGGGTTGAAGGGGGAAGGTGTCCCTCAGCCCAGCCTGCACCCTCTTGTAATATGGGACCCCTTGGGGAACATCCCTCTCACAAGTTGGAACCACTGGCTCCTAACTGCCTGCCTGCCTGCTTGCCTGATCACCCCTAACCTCCTCTGCCTTGGCCCCCGCCACCATGGATTAGTCTGGAAGGATGTCTGGAATGACATCCAGAAGGTTGTTAGGCTGTCCAGTCTAATTAGCATATTACACTTTTATTATTATAGATGAGAAGAATAAGTTTAGAAAAAATGACCTGCTCAGAGCCATGCAACCAGAACCCTACTCATTTTTGCCTTGGGATCTGATCTTCCTCTTCTCAACTCTATGCTCACTAATGGCCTTACTCTCTGCTGTTCCCTTCCCTTCCCTTCCATTCATTCATTTATTAATTATTTACTAACTATCTCCTATGTGCCAAGAACTATGCAGTTAATTCAGAGATGATACAGAAATGATTGGGATCTGTCTCCAGTCCTTAAGGAGATCAGAATCCAGACAGTGAACTAAGATTTAGACATGCGAGAAGCTAGGGACTCTGCAAGAGTCTCCAAATGCAAAGTGACTTCAAGAGAGGTCACAAGGCCAGGCAGGTCAGATGGCCTGCTGGGAGAAATCTGGGCTAGAAGATAAATGACCTGGTTTGAGTCCCAAGTTTGTCATCACTGTTTGTGCCCCATCTTTTTCCTCTTTTGTGCTGTGGAGATGATGCCCTCGCAGGCTATTGGCACATAGTAGATGACCAGGAAATAAAAGGTGCTGAAAGTCCTCCATCCTGGTCCCTTTTCTCTGTGACCCTACTCCCTCTCCCTCCTGGATAGGAATTATTCTCACTTCCACCACCCGATATATGGAAACTGCTACACGTTCAATGGCGAGAACAACTCCAACCTCTGGATGTCTTCTATGCCTGGGGTCAACAACGGTGAGCAACATCCCATACTCTCAGTCCCTGACCTCTGCCTCAGCCCTTGCTGCTTCCCTGCTCACCCACGTTTACCCACCTTGAGCTCCATCCTAGAGATGCCATGAGCCTCTGGGCATCGCCATAATGTGCCTATCTCAGTCCTGGAAGGAGTTTTCCCTGTTCTTTCTCCACTATGGGTACCATGTTGTCCATTCCAGGTGTGATAGGAACCCTGACCCAGTCCTTCCAGCCCTCCCCCAGAATCCAGCTCAGGGGTTGTTGCCACATCCATTTGTAGGTCTCCCTGCTTTGCTCTCTTTGGAGCGTTAGGAATTGGGCAGGGTGGGAGGGTGTTTTCCATCCCTTAATGCTTTCCCAAGATCTTCTCCCAACTCTGCTTCCTCTGCACATGCCAGGTCTATCCCTGACACTGCGCACAGAGCAGAATGACTTCATCCCGCTGCTGTCCACAGTGACTGGGGCCAGGGTCACGGTGCACGGGCAGGATGAGCCTGCCTTCATGGATGATGGTGGCTTTAACTTGCGACCTGGTGTGGAGACCTCCATCAGCATGAGGAAGGCAAGAGTGCTGCCTGGGAAGCCTGGGAGGAGAGCCCTAGAGAGACGAGAGGCAAGGGAGAGAGCATGGGAGGTGGACTCGACAGCCAGTGGCTGAGGAGGGGGCTCATGCAGACTGGGCCTTGAGCACGTGGAGGTCTACTGGAGCAGAAACCAGGGCTGAGGGGCTGGGAGAGTGGACACCAGGAAGAAGGGACCAGAGGAGTGGGCCTTGGATGAGAGTGCTGAGAAGGGATTCAGAACATGCTTAGGATTTCCGGGGAAGCTGTGGGCCTGATGTCCTTGAAAGTGGCCCTGAGATGGATGTTGGGCCACTGGGAGCATGTTTTGAAATGGGGAGGCAGACAGGTGAGGCTGGCAGGATAGGAGATGCAACCTGAGACTGAGGGAAGACAGAGGGTTCAGGAGGAGGCCTGGGCCACGTGCTCTGCTCTGTGACCTCTGACATCTTGGTGTGTGTGTGTACTCACAGGAAGCCCTGGACAGACTTGGGGGCAACTATGGAGACTGTACCTATAATGGCAGTGATGTCCCTGTCAAGAACCTTTACCATTCCAAGTACACACAGCAGGTGAGTCCAGTCTGTGGCAACTATCTCCCAGGCCTGCACTATTGGTCAGTCAAAATGGAAAGGTGTGTGTGTGTGTGTATGTATGTGTGTAAACAGTGGATGAGGGATAGATGTGCAGCACAGAGAATTATTTGTCCTTCCCCTTCTCTGTCTCTTACGGGCTGTTTGTGGATGAGAGCAGGCCTGACCTCCCCCCTCACTCTCCTCCCTGTAGGTGTGCATTCACTCTTGCTTCCAGGAGAGGATGGTCAAGGAGTGTGGCTGTGCCTACATCTTCTATCCACGGCCCGAGCATGTGGAGTACTGTGACTACAGGAAGCATGATTCCTGGGGTGAGAGTCCAGGAGGGAGCCCCTGGGCTGCCCATTGACGAGGCCTTTCCTGGGAGCCCTCTCCTCTCAGCACCCTCTGTCTGAGGGGCTGCTTCTGCCTCTCTCTGTCCCTGATGAATTCTCCCTGTCTCTTGTTTTCCAGTCCTTAGACTGGCCTCTCTCAGATTTCTGTGTACTATCTCTGTCCCTCCCTCACAGTTTCTCCCCTTCTGTTTTGGCTTCTGTGTGTTTATAAAAGAACTAAAGGCCCAGTGCACGAAATTCATGCAAGGGGCTTGGCCCTCGCAGCAGCCCCAGCTGCCTCGAGGCCCCACCCCCCTCTCACTGGTCATTCTGGGAGGTTGTTCCTAAAGGTCCACCTGGAAAATTGTTCTGCTGTCTGGTCTAATTAGCATGTTAGCTCTTTATTATATAGGATGGCTCTATTTAAAAATAATTTGCAGCGTAAGGTAGGAAGAATGTGAGAAAAAATCTCCCCATTCCCTCCGGGGCCTGCTGAGGTTTCTGTGCACACTCTGCCCATAGCTTCCTTGTCTCACTCAAGGCTCCAGGCCAGGTACTGGGATGACTCACTGGGTGCAGGGAGAAAATACCAGAAGTTAAATGTATCTCTATCATTTTATTACACATTCCATTTTGTGTATGTTTTATAATGTACATAATGTATCAATTCAATAGTAGCAGGTGTGTGCTTTATAAACCAAATGCATATACTGGAGTTGCTTATTTAAGAAGTTTTTACCTACGGGAGAGCATAATCAAAGAAGTTTTGAGAGTTCTGGCATCTCCTCCTCATCCTGGTCTGGAAGTAGACAGATCCCCTTTTCTTTCACATAGCTGGGCTACTCAGCAGGGAAGCTGTGTACTGGGTAGCTGAGAGAGAGAAAACCCTAAACAGGAAACCATAGAAACAGAGGGTTGGCTTTCCTGGTGCACATGCTCTTATCTGTCCCAGCTGGCTAGTCCTCCAGGGTCTCCTTCTCCCCAGTTCCACTGGGACCAGCTCTCCCCCTGTGGATTGGTGGCTGGCCTTTGATGGATGACATACACCTTCACACCTCTCAGGATGAGTCAGGGGCCCTGCAGATCCCGGAGTTCCGTGTCTGCCTGTCTCGGCTCTGTCTGGGTGATCTTTAGGCCTCCTTCCTTCCCTGGGTCTGCTCCACTCAGCTCTCTCCCCTGCTGGACTTTGTAATGGTGGCCTCACTTCCCGTGTCTCTGACCTTAGGAAAATCATAGTGCAGCTGAGCAGGAGTGTATCCTCCTGGCCTCACCTTCTCCTTAAGCAAGCTGAGACCCTGAGGGAAGAAATGGCTCCCTGCCCACTGCTCCCCTTGGCCCCCCAAACAGTGATTTCTAAGTGTTTGTGAGTTTGAAGAAGATCTGTGGGAGAAAAATAACAATACCGATTGCTGAGAATCTGTGAGAATGAGGGAAAGGAACTAGGTTAAAAAATCAGATTGTTGCGTTTCCTAAGGACTGCTCACTCCCCAGAGAAAAGGGCCCCACTGTTTCTCAGACTTCCTAATTAAAGATCCCCAGTCCTGATAGACTGAGACATTTGGGTCAGAAATGAAGGAGGACTGGGTGACTAAAAGTAGAAAGAAGGACAAAATAACCTTATTTAGACTTTGGCAAACAGGGGAGAAAAGGAATCTATAGACCTACTATTTTCTTTCTTTCTTTCTTTCTTTCTTTCTTTCTTTCTTTCTTTCTTTCTTTCTTTCTTTCTTTCTTTCTTTCTTTCTTTCTTCCTTCCTTCCTTCCTTCCTTCCTTCCTTCCTTCCTTCCTTCCTTCCTTCCTTCCTTCCTTCCTTCCTTCCTTCCTTCCTTCCTTCCTTCCTTTCTTTCTTTCTTCTTTCTTTCTTTTTCTTCCTTTCTCTCTCCACCCCCTTTTGTAACAGCTTTTTGAGATAATTCAACCAATTTAAAGTGTACAATTCAATTTTAAGATAGTTTTAGATTTTAGTATAGTCACAGAGTTGTGCAACAATGGCCACAGCCATTTTTATCACGCCAGAAAGAAACTTTGTACCCATAGCACTCTTCCAGTTCCCCATTCTCTGTGCCCATAGTGCCCTTCTCCCTCCCCGCCCCCTACACCCTTGGCAAGCACTAGTCTGCTTTCTGTCTCTAGATGTGCCTCTTCTGTACATTTTATATATGTAGGATCATATAACATATGGTCCTTTGTGACCGGGATATTTTCAAGATTCATCCACCTTGTAGCAGGTGCAAGAACTTCTTTCCTCTTTATAGCTGAATAATGTCCTGTTGTATGGACAAACCACATTTGTTTTATTCATTCATCAGTTTATGGGCATTTGTGTGTGTGTTTTTTTATACTTTTTATTTTTTACTATTGTGACTTTGAACATCTTGTAGAAGTTTTTGTGTGAACATATGTTTTGAAGACTCTTGGGTATATACCTAGGAGTGGAATTTCTGAGTCAGATCCTAACTGTACGTTTAAAATTCTGCCAGACTGTTTTTGCAAAGTGGCCACACCATTTTACATGCTCAACAGCAATGTAGGAGGTTCCAGTTTCTCTACAGTAACACTCGCTATTGTCTTTTTTAAATTGAATTGATTGGGGTGACATTGGTCTTTTGTTCAATTATAGCCATTCTAGTGGGTATGAAGTGATACCTCATTGTGGTTTCATCTCATTATTTGACACAATTGTTCCCACTCTTCTTTCTGACTTTCTAATTTTTGTTCAAATCCTACACATCTTTACATAGGTATAGTGCGCTCCCCGCTCTCCCCCTTCCCCCCTTTGACACACAAGTTAGCTTAATTTCTTAAACTATTTTTGGTGCAGCCACTCAGGAAACATCACTGTAATCTGATACTCTTGTGAAGGGGGTGCTCTTTAGAGGCCTCTTGGGTGTGGGGAAGAGAAGGTTGAGGTGTCCACTCTGCACCCACAGGCTACTGCTACTATAAGCTCCAGGGTGCCTTCGCCTCAGATCGCCTGGGCTGTTTCACCAAGTGCCTGAAGCCGTGCAGGTGAGTGTCCCCTTCGCCTGGGCACAGGTTGGGCAGCGGGCTGCTTGGCTGGGTGGAATATAGGTATTCAGCTAAGCCTTTGAGTGGGAGGGCCTCACTCCCATTACTGAGTGCCTCTCTCCATTCCCAGTGTGACCAGTTACAAGCTCTCTGCAGGTTACTCGCGATGGCCCTCCGTGACATCCCAGGTAAAGTGGGGAAGGGGAAGGACAGGGGACGTGTGTATGACACTGTGATCTTCTCTGGGTATATGTATAGTAAGCCTAAAGAATATGGGTAGTCCCTTGACACTCCAATTCTTTCCCAGGACTGGGTCTTCCGGATGTTATCCCTACAGAATAATTACACCATCAAAAACAAAAGGTCAGTCCTACCCTGGTCCCAGCCCCAAGAAAAGAATCCTTGGGAGGGAAATCAAATCTGGAAAGAAGGAATGATACAGTTGATTGGAGGAGGGTGTTTGTGAGGTTCTGAGAAGTTAATCCTCTGCCATTTCTTCCCATCCTCTCCCCTACTCCACAGAAATGGTGTTGCCAAACTCAATGTCTTCTTCAAGGAGCTGAACTACAAAACCAATTCTGAGTCTCCCTCCGTCACAGTACGTCCTGCTTCACTGAGCCTGTGATTTTCTGGGGGTTCTGGGAAAACAAGGGATTGCCTTTGTTGGGCCAGAGTGTCTGGGCCTTGAAGGTAGGGGACCAAGGAGAGGGGTGAGTGGTGAGGATGAGATTGAGAGGGTTGGAAGAAGGGGTACTTGGCTGAAGGATGAAGCCTCTTGGGGTAGTGAGAGGGAAGGGTGTGCCAGGTGGGTATGACTTGGAAAGAAAGGGTTCAGGGGGCCACTGAGAGGCTGAGAGGGGTGGCTGAGGACCTCAGTTAAGGAGGGATGGGGCTCTTCTGCTGGAGCCCACCCTGGGCCCTCTGCCCCAGTGGTTAGTGTGCCTTTCGCCCTTACAGATGGTCACCCTCCTGTCCAACCTGGGCAGCCAGTGGAGCCTGTGGTTCGGCTCCTCAGTGCTGTCTGTGGTGGAGATGGCGGAGCTCATCTTTGACCTCATGGTCATTACATTCCTCATGCTGCTGCGGAGGTTCAGAAGCCGATACTGGTCTCCAGGCCGAGGGGGCAGAGGTGCCCAGGAGGTGGCCTCCACTCCAGCTTCCTCCCTCCCTTCCAGTGTTTGCCCCCAGCTCCCCTCCTCGGCCTCATCTCTGGCAACCCCTGATACTTCCCCAACCTTGACTGCCCCTCCACCGGCCTATGCCACCCTGGCCCCCTGCCCAGCTCCATCCAGCTTGGCAGGGGCCAGCTCCTCTGTCTTCACTCTGGAGGAGCCCTGAGAGGAAACCTGAGAAGAAAGGAGAGTGTCAGCCCCCAAGGCAAGCAGCTTCCCTTGGTGGGTGGGGACAAACCTTGGCAGGATTAAAGAATGTTTTGGGCTTGTTCTCAGCTGCCCCAACTGCCTTTGGTGTGGAGGAGGAAAGCAGCATGAACGAGGGGCTACAGAAATTGCTTGGAACACAGGGACCACAGAAGCTGCCCAAGAATTGCCCCTGGCTCCTGCCCAGTACCCCCTGGTCCTGCCTCTAGAACACTCTGGCTTCCTCATGCAAGCGGAGAGAAATCTCCTTTTCCCTTGGATCAACCCAGTCAGACTTGGAGCTTTGACAAGGAATGTTCCTGGGAAACAAATGACGACAAAAGCAAAACAAACAAGGACACACAAAGGCATGCCCAGGTTTCCTACCCAAGGATGACGGAAGCCAGCTCTGGGCTGGCCCAGCCACACTGCTTTCCAGTGACACGGACATTTGCTCCTCTTCTTGAAGTTGAGTGGGGAAGCCCACCCCAAAGCCCCCTTAGTTAGTTCTTGTGCAAGCCCCCTTCCATGACTCCCCAGAGCAGGGGCTGGAGCAGACCAGTGTAGTAAAGGCTTGGCGTTTCCAGTTGGACCCAGGACTCTTCCAGCCTCATCTACCCGCTACCCACCCCTTGCACTCCCCAGCCCATCCTAGCACTCTGCCTGTATCCTTCACACCTCTGCAAGTCATCTCAAACTGTTTCCTAAACCTGGAAGCTTTCCCCACCATTGGCTGGAGAACTTCTATGCATTCCTTAGAACCCTATGCAGACACAACTACTTCTATGAAGGCTTCTGCCCCATCTTATCTTCTCCAGAATCGATCACTCCCCTCTTTCCTGGACTCCCATAGTGCACCATAACATTGGTTGGAATACTGATTTTGCATTTTCCCTGTACATTTGTGTCTGCTTCCCCAACTAGACTGTGAGCTCCTTGTGATCAGGGACTGTTGTTCATTTATGTAACCTCAGGGTCTAGCCCAGTGTCCGACTTGGAGCAAGTAGGCAGGCACTTAATAAATATTTGTTGCAAAAAAAAAAAAAAAAATGGCCGAAACCGGTTTGGCTCAATGGATAGAGCGTCGGCTTGGGGACTGAAGGGTCCCGGGTTCGATTCTGGTCAAGGGCATGTACCTTGGTTGTGGGCGCATCCCCAGTGGGGGCTGTGCAAGAGGCAGCTGATCGATTAGGTTCTCTCTCATCGATGTTTCTGACTATCTCTCTCTCTTCCTCTCTGTACAAAATCAATAAAATATATATATTTTAAAAAAATGTCTGGAGAGTTGAACGGGGTGCCCTGAGGGGGGTAGGGAGTGGATCTGAGTCTCTGGGTGTCTGCTCAAGCTCCTAGGAGGTTCTGGGGTGGGGGTGAGGGAGACAGTCTCCTACCCCTCAGCTTCACTACGGAAATGACCATTCTTCCAGGGCCTCAGGAGTGACAAGCTGTCCTGCTAGTTCCTCCATGGACATATGCATCTGTTATGTGCCCATCACCATGTTAGGGTGGGAGGGCGAAGACGTGGGCATTCCCCTCAGACCTACTAGGCAGTGCTTGGGATAATTCCCCCTCCTCTCCCATCTCCCCCACCGCCCCTCCCCCATACTTCTCACCTCCCCTACCTCCCCTCCCCCATATCTCCCCACCTTCCCCACCTCCCTTACTCCCCCACCCCCATACTTCCTCATCCGTCCATTGTCCATTGTCTGAACTTACTTTTTCTCCCAAGTTTAGTTACCATCATCAGTAATCTTTCACTCCATTTGCTGAGCATCCACCACTCACCAGCCAACATAACATCCTCATCTGCTCCCTCCCCATCAACTGCACAGTTGTGGTGGAGGAGGATGAGACTCAGGCCACATTCTTCTGGACCCTCAGAGCCTGTGTATTCTCATTCTTGTATCACCCTAGACTCTAGGACCTAGAGTGAGAGCAGTGGGAATCCTCCCAGGTTATTTCTTTTTTTTATTTTTTATTTTTTATTTTTTTTTTATTATTTTTAAATCAATCTTTATTGTTCATATTATTACAAAGGTTCCTCATTTCTTCCCCCCTCCACCAGGTTCCCACCCCACCCTCTGTCCCCTCCCCATCCCCCATTGTCCTCATCCATAGGTGCAGTTTATGTTCAGTCTCTTCTTCCCTCAATTTTCCCAATAGTAAATCCCTTTTCAGATAGTAAATCAGTTACTTAGCATTTTCTCATATCAATAATACCTCCACATGCCCAATGATACACTTCACACAAAAGACATTTCCCAGTAGGTCCACTAGCCTCATCCAGGCCCCACCCAAGGCACTCACAGATCAACACCCCAGTCCTAAACTAACTCAACACATCCAGATCTAAGCCTTCATCACTTGATTCAGCAGACCCTCAAGTTCACACGAAAGTTTCCAGCCATGTCTGAGAAGCAGCCGTGGGGCAGGGGCAGGCGAGGAGCGAGCTGTTCTGGGCCTGGCTGCTCAGGGCCTGGCCTCTGTTGCTCTGGTTCATTCCACAACCAGCTGCTCCGGGTCTGGTCACTGCCGCTCCCGACCTAGTTGCTCTGGACTTGGCTGCTGCTGCTCCGGGCCTGGCCGCTCCCAGCCTGGCAGCCGCTGCTATGGGCCTGGCCGCACCCGACCCGCCTGCTCCCCCGGGCCTGGCCGCTCCCAGCCTGGCAGCCGCTGCTCCGGGCCTGGCCGCACCCGACCCGCCTGCTCCCCCGGGCCTGGCCGCTCCCAGCCTGGCAGCCGCTGCTCCGGGCCTGGCCGCTCCCAGCCTTGCAGCCGCTGCTCTGGGCCTGGCCGCACCCGACCCGCCTGCTCCCCCGGGCCTGGCCGCTCCCAGCCTGGCAGCCGCTGCTCCGGGCCTGGCCGCACCCGACCCGCCTGCTCCCCCGGGCCTGGCTGCTCCCAGCCTGGCAGCCGCTGCTCCCGGCCTGGCCGCTCCCAGCCTTGCAGCCGCTGCTCTGGGCCTGGCCGCACCTGACCCGGCTGCTCCCCCGGGCCTGGCCGCTCCCAGCCTGGCAGCCGCTGCTCCGGGCCTGGCCGCACCTGACCCGGCTGCTCTGGGCCCGGCTGCCCCGGGCCCGGCCACTCCGAGCCTGGCCACTCCCGACCTGGATGCTCTGGGCTTGGCTACTGCTGTTCTGGGTCTGGCTGCTCCCACCCCGGCTGCTCTGGGCCCGGCTTCTCCGGGCCCGGCCACTCCAGGTCTGGGTGTTCCTGGACTGGCCACCCTGGGCTTGGCCGCCTCCGCCTCATGCCTGGCTGCCACTGCCCCAGGTCTGGCTACTCCAGTGCTGGCTGTTGATGCTCTGATTCTGGCTGCTGTTGTTCTGGGGCCTGGCCGTTGCTGCTCCGGGTCTGGCTGCCACTGCCTTGTGCCTGGCCACTCTAGGCCTGGCCGTCGCTGTTCCAACATTCTGTCCTTTTTTTTTTCTTTTTTCTTTTTAAAACGCATTTATGTTGCAATGTTGGCTGGTGAGTTGAGTTCTGACTTAGTCTTTGATTTTTCAAGATCTTCTTTGTATTCTTTCTTAAGTAATTTTACTATTTTTTGCTCTCACTTGATTTCTTCACATTGAGAACTTCTTTGGTTTTTTCCTCCTTGTCCTGGGAGCTCAGCAGGTTGGCCTGTGGCACCCCTTTGTTCTCCGCGGGCTCCTGCGCTGCTTCAGCCTGTTGCCGAGGTCGGCGCCACCCAGGAAGCAGCCCCTGGCCTTGGCTCCATTGCCCGAGCTCAGTGGTCAAAGGCTCAGGGGCACCCACGCCCCCAGGGGCCCCGTGGCCCGCCTCCTTGCTGGTGCCCGGTTGGCTGGAGTCCGGCAGGGCTTCCGTTCCCCTCCGCGTTCCCCCAGCCTGGAGCTTTCTTTTTCTCCTTCCCGCAAGAGAAGTCCAGCATCAGAGTCAACAGACTGTCCTCTGTGCACAGTTTGCGCGAGTCCCACAGACTGTCCTCTGCGCGCAGTTTGCGCGAGTCCCGGGGGCCAGGCCTTTCCCCGCTCTCCCCAGACTCCACCTCACAGCCCTGTCTCCCTCTGCCTGAGCCTGGGTCCCCAGGGATTGGCCCAGAACTGGGGTTCAGAGCAGTCCGGACTGAGGCTCAGCGCCGCCGGAGGCCTTGTTTCTTCCGGCTAAGGTAACCCAGCATCAGAGTCAACATTCAGTCCTCTACGCACATTGCGCGCGACTCCCGGGGCCCTGCTTTTCGCCGTTTTTCCGCCTCACGGCCCCGTCTCCTCCCACCGGGGCCTGGGTCCCCAGGGTCTGGCCCATAATTGGGGCTCAGCGCTGCCGGTTCGGGGGTTCAGCCCAGGCTGGGGGTTTTATTTCCTTCCTGCTAGGGAAGGAAAGGCGGCTCCCCGCCCTCTCCTCCTCTCCGGCTGCGACCTCTCCATGCGCGCGTGCGGGCGGGCACGCGCGCAGCATGTCTCCGTACCTTAGGCTTTTTTTCAGCTCCTCTGATTTTCTTTCTGGTTTTCTCTTTCCTTCTTGTTGTAGAAATTTCAGTCAGTCGACTACCTGTAGCTCTGGGCAATGTCCACTCTACATTTTAGTTGTATTCCATTGAAATTGTTGTGTGCTGCCGCGGCTAGATGTCTACCCGAGCAGCCATCTTGGATCCTCCCCCCAGGTTATTTCTTAAAACTGTGTTGTTATTGTTGTTTTTAATTGATTTCAGAGAGAGGAAGGGAGAGGGAGAGAGAGATAGAAACATCAAAGATGAGAGAGAATCATTGATCAACTGCCTCCTGCAGGCCTTCAACTGGGGATGGAGCCCATATCCTGGGCATGTGCCCTGACTGGGAATCAAACCGGGACCTCCGGGTTCATGGGTCAATGCTCAACCACTGAATCACACCAGCCAGGCCCTTCCAGGTTTTAATAGAGGAGAGACAGGGATGTCTGAGTGGAGCCCGGGTTTTCAAGCTTCTGGTTCCTCCCCACCACTGCAGCATGACACTTGGAACCTAGAAGTTATCCTTCTTTGTCACTTTGTGGACCTTTTCCTAACTGTCCTGGTCTTACTCCCCTCAATTACAGTCTCTCTGTCCTGAGGAGCCAAGTGAATCTTAGGGAAAAAGGCAGAGATGGTGAAGATAGATAAGGTTGTGACCAGGAACTGATGTGGTGCTTTCCGACTTCCCCTTCCTAGACTCAAGTTGATGAGAAGGAAATGGTGGTGTTACAACAGTCTCTTTCGTCAGAGCCCTCAGGTTCAGTTCACCCTTGTGTGCTCTGCTACAGTGCAGCCTTACCCCTTCTGTCTCCAGCAGCCTGTCCCAGCTGACCTGTTACAGATAATGGTAATCAGCTCCTTCCCACCTGTCGTTGTCTTGGCCTGCGGAGTTTTCACTCTGAGGGGTTTCCTTCTCTCCATCTTATATCTATATGCTGCCTCTGGACCTTAGGGTTAGGGGTTAGAATCTGAGTATTAAGGAGGATCCAGTTAAGTTACCTTTTCCTTATTGAGGTTATTAGGTGACATGACTTGCTAAAGTTCATGATTCTTACAGAACCAGCCTGGAACCTGAGTCTCCTTCTATGACCTGTAGAGTCAGAATGGCAGGGCTGTGGTTGCAGCCCACGTCGTCCTCACCGGGAGTCCAGTGCCCTTTGGATCACTCTGTACTGCTGTAGAGTGTGTGCATGTATGTGTGCATGTGCGTGTGTGCGTGTGTGCGTGTGTGTGTGTGTGTGTGTGTGTGTGTGTGTGTGTATGTGTTTGTGTGTGTGAGAGAGAGAAAGAGAGAGAGAGAGAGAGAGAGAGAGAGAGAGAGAGAGAGAGAGATGGATGATGGAGGCTGAAGGACTCTGCCATCTGAAGCTCTCTATCCTTTGCTCCATAGTCCCTAACAACCAATTCTGTCATCCCATAATCTGCTCCTCTTCTATCTCTCCATCTATCCCATTCTCTCTCTCACCATTATTCCTTCTTCTTTCCCTGGAAGAAATTTCTCCATGAAATTAGTTAGCTTTTCATATTCCTTGGTCTATCTACCTCTCACCATGTTTTTAAAAACAATTTTATTGAGCCCTGGCAAGATTGCTCAGTAGTTAGAGCATCAGTCCTTGGACCAAAGGGTCATGGGTTAAATTCTGGGTCAAGGGCATATACCTGGGTGGCAGGTTGATCCCCAGCCCTGGTTGGGACAGGTACAGGAGGCAACCAATCAATGTGTCTCTCTCATATTGATGTTTCTCTCCCTCCTTCCCTTCCACTCCCTGGGATTAAAAAAATAAAAAATTATAAAATAAAACAATTTAATCAAATAATTTAATACCACATTTCCCAAAACTTTAAACTTATTGAGCAAATTAGCATTTATCCTGAACAATGATATTCTCTTTTTCTACCCAGTATGTGTAATGGCTTAAACAGTTGGCACAAACTATTAGCATTCCTTGTAATGTTAAAACTAGGACATTAAAGTCATTATTAATTATTAACACAAACGGTCAATATTGCTACTGCTTATTGAATCCTTGGTCTCCAGCAAACACTTTACATGCATTTACTTATCAGTGCCTATGACGTGAGGGTACGGGGTGTTCCCCGTTTTGTAGATGAGGAACCTGTGGCCCTTCTTGCTTCTTCACAGTGAAACTGGGCTTTCTGACTCTTGCACTTGATTCCAATGACCCTGCTTTGAGAGCCCTGCTTCCGGTCCACTGTACTATCCTTGGAGGCTCCCTGTGTGTTGGTAAAAGTGAGCTCCTCTGAGTCCAGCTTCAACTCTCCAGTTCTTCAGAGGCTGGGGGGTGGGGTGGGGTGGAGTGAAGTCAGCCCAAGGTGGGGACATCCAAGCTCCATTCTCATCTATGGATGCTCTGCCCTTAGGATCAGAGAGGGGAGGCCAGGAAAAGCCAGGCAGGGTGGACTGGGGTAGGGGTCTGGGCTGCTGGATCAAGGGGAGAAGGAACCAGGAGCTCTGATTCCAAGTCACAAAGCCCTGGGACCTCACTCCTCTGGTCTTCCTGCATTTCTAGCAAACTCAGCTGCCAGAGGACCTGGGTGGAGGGAAGGTCATTTTGCTCAGAGGACATGTGAGTGAGCATGGTACCCTTGTGTGATTCCTTTTGGAGATGTCCTGCACTAAGTGGGATGACATAAAACACCCAGAGTCAGGGAGTGGGGTCTGAATCACAGTGACATTCAGGAAAATGGCCATATGTCTAACATAGCAAAATGGGCCCTTGGGTTTCGGAGTCTTAGGGAACATGCTCTGGGTGTCTCCGGCTCTCAGTTTCCTCATCTACAAAATAAGAAGGTGCAGTAGGTTATCTCTGAGGTCGCTTTGGACTGAAATACAGAATAATATTTGGGAAAAGGGCGCTGAGAACGTACTAGTACTATGATTGAAATATCTGGAATTCCCAAAGTGTTTTCACAGATATGATCTCATTAATGCTCATGACCCCGCTTTCCTGTGTTGGTGGGATAGGCATTGTTCCTCTCACTTAGTAACGAGGAGCCAAGACCCAGGGGAGGTCCTACCAATGTTTGGTGTCAGAGCCAGGCTCAGCAGCTTTGAGACCTAGTCAAGCATAGGCTCGATGAGAACCAGATTGAAGGGGAGGGTGTGAAGGTCCAAACCAGGGCAGAAAACTGGGGTTAGCATTCACTCGAAGGTTTATTTATTTTATTTTATTTTTAAATGTACTTTTTATTGATTTTTTATAGAGGAAGGGAGAGGGATAGAGAGTCAGAAACATCGATGAGAGAGAAACATCAATCAGGTGCCTCCTGCACACCCCCTACTGGGGATGTGCCCACAACCAAGGTACATGCCCTTGACCAGAATTGAACCTGGGATCTTTCAGTCTGGAGGCCAACGCTCTATCTACTGAACCAAACCAGTCAGGGTTACTTGGAGGTTTAGATCGGAGGGTAAATTCCTAAGAAAGCAGAGATGAGGGTGTCAGTGGGGAACTCTGGGAGAAAGGGAAGAGTTACTGAGGAACTCCAAACCCTTGTCATGTATCAGACACACATGTGCCGTTTCAATAAATTCTTATAGCAACCACATGAAATGGGGTCTTACCATTTGGCACGTTGGAAAGCAGGCTCAGAAAGTTCAGATAGTTTGTCCAAGACAACCCAGCTAAAAAGCAGAGGACTCTGAACTGTACCCCAGGAAATTTGAACCCAAAGCCCTGGGTCTTTTTATTGCTATTCAATTGGCAGAAGCTAGGGGTTTGGGGTTGAGGAGGGAGGGGGCTTAGTGCCCGTGGGTGTTTGCTTGGGAGGGTCAGGTTGTGGATCCAGGACTGTGGAGCCTCTCACTGTGCTACAAAGAGTTAAAAAACAAAACAAAAAACCCGCCTCTTCCCGCCTCCTCCAGCCTCCTCCCCCAAGTCCTTCCTGTCTTGGTGTTGCAACACCCATCAGCCTCTCTCCCTTCCCCTCCCACCTCCTCTTTGCTTTAATGTTCTCATAGTTCAGACTCAGGCCTTGGTTCTGGCCTTGGGGGTTTGAGGCCCCTGGGACTGGAGCCTGATCTTCATCCCAAGTTCAACCCTTCACCCCTTCACCTAAGGCCACGGCTCCACTTGGGACCTCCTGACCGGCCCATCCCGGGACTCAGGGACTCCGTTGCTGCCACTTTGCCTGCCGCCACCGCTGCTGGCTCCGCTGCCTGAGCCCTGATGGGGGAGTGAGAGGCCACAGCTGGCCGGACATGGGCCTCCCAACCGTGCCTGGCCCGCTGCTGCCACTGGTGAGACCAGGGACCCGGGCGGGGTGGGCTGATGGGCGCAGGGTGCTGCCGGCGGCCTGGAAGGAGCCCTCACCAGGGAGAGGGCCCCTGGCCTGACCTCAGCCAGAAGCCCAGGTTTCCCTGAATCAGAGGCAGGGGAGAAGTTTGAAAGGTGGGGAATGAAAGGGAGCTCTGGCCCCTGACAGCCAAGGAAGTTCATTGGGGTTAAGGGGTGTTTGAAAATGTGGGGACGGGTGATGGCCGAGGGTGGGGCAGATTTAGTAGGAAAGGAAAAGAGTGGGGGAAGAAGTCAGTCCTTCAGATTCCAGATGATTCAGAACTTGGCCGGGCCCTCTGGTCAGCTGGCTGGCCCAGGAGTGTGTTGGGGTGTGGAGGTGCGGCTGCCAGTGGCCAGTGGGAGAGCAAACCCTGCTCAAGGACAGGGGTTGGGGATAGTGAAGTGGGGAAACAGAGTCTGGGAAGGGGGTCGGTGGGTGTGGTGAGTTTGGAGTGCCATATGGTGGGAGGTCTGTGGGAATGGAGTGGGAACTGGCATGGGCCTCCCGGGGAAAGCATGTCCTATGTTACCCCAGGCTGACGTTTCCCACTGGGGACGTTCTTGTTTGTTTGTTTTGAGAAGCCACAAGTACAATGGTAAATCTGGCACCAACGGGGGCATTCTTCAACCTCTGCCTCTGCCTCAGTTTCCAGGCAGGTGGCCTCCACTGGACTGCCCCTCTTAGGTGGCACCAGCTCCACCTGGACATTGTCTCTCTGCCCACCCACCAGCCCCTCCCCACAGCCCTGGACAACAATCCCTTGGTTTCTTCTATAGTCAGTTTGAGGAAGTTGGAAGAAAGTTGTTTTCGTCACTGGAAAATGTCCCTTTCTCTTGCGTTGGTCTTATGTGAAGGTATCCCTTATCACTCTCCGTGTCTGGAGGAGTCACCCTGTGCAGACTCCCTGAGTCCCCGGCCACCCCTTCCCCCCCTCCCCCACAGGCTGGGTGCATTTCCCACCTGTTGATGCCCAGTTTCTTCTGAGTCCCTGCCCACCCATGGCTCCTTCCTCTCCTTCCTCAGGGTGTTAACTTTCTCTTCCAGAAATGTCCTCAGACTTCTCAGAGTCTCCTTTTGGAAATTCTTTCTCTTGAGTTCCTTCCCTCTCGCTCTCTTTTCCATATTTCTAGACCTTAGTGTCCCACACAACCTCTCTCTACCCTAATCTTCAGGTTCTCCCACCTCCTGTCTCCCAGCCCCATCTCTCCCCTTCTTTCAAGACTGGCCTCCCAGGTCACCCCAACCGGCCGCTCTGCTATCTTCTCTCTTTTTGGCAGTAGATCCAGCTCTACTCACATGCTAGTTGCCTAAACTTGAGCAGGTTATGCAACCCCTCCATGCCATGGTTTTCTTATCTCTAACGTGAACCTAATAGTCACTACCTCATAATGTTGTTTGGAAGATTAAATAGATTGGTATATTTTAAATATTCAGTTTATTAAGTGTCTGCTCTGTACTAGAGACACTGTTTTAAGCGTTGGGACTACGGAACGCACAAAATCACTGCCCTCAAACCTTTGTAATTAATATGAACAATAAAGATTGATTAAAAAAAAAAGAAATATTAAATATCAGTTGGTATTATTACTACTGTATTACATTCTCTGTTGTTTGTATATACCAAAAGGACAGTGTGTTTACAGTTTTTCATGTTGCCAATGAAAGTATCTTCTCTTAATTTTTTAATAAAAATATTTTTCTAGAAAAAAAAAATCACTGCCCTCAGAGAGTCTACATTCTATAAGAGGGATAGGGTGGAGCAAATAGAAAGTGCTCAGTAAATGCTAGCTTTTACATTGTTAGTGTTAGGAATACATAGGAAAGTACAGTAGTTATTCCTTGATGGCTACTGCTTTTGGAAAACAGGTGACAGTAGCCCAAAAGATAAAAGAAAAGTGTCTGGGGGCTGAGGCTGGGGCTCACCGGATCCAGCCCAGGTGAGGGTCTGACACCAGCTCAGCCTGGAGTTGGAGGAGAAACGGAGGGTATGCAAGGTCTGGATAAGGCTGTCCATGAACTTTCCAGTTGCTCACCACTCAATGGGCAATTCAGAGCACACACAGTGTGTGTGTGTGTGTGTGTGTGTGTGTGTGTGTGTTGGGGAGGGACTGGGAAAGAATACAGGAGAGAGTGTGATAAGCAAACAGGACGTTGCTACTCTCAAAGAGCTTACAGTCTAGGAGCCAAGACAGCTTTTGCAAAAATATGATTTCGCAACAGTCTAGAAGGAAATCATCACAAAAGCATCCTGACGTGATGCCCTGGGACACCAATCGAGTGTTGTCCTGGTGCCTTTTCTAGGGTAGCAGATCTCAGCTCCAGGAGCACACCTTGCACAGACTGCAGAGCCTTCCAGTGGCTCTCTGCAACCCATGGAGAACGCACGAGTGCATGAGTGGTGTTGTTTCATCTCTGCCTCCCTGGCGCATAGATTTTGAAAAAATATATGTTTTATTGATTTTTTTTTTTGGGGGGGGGGAGAGAAGAAGGGAGAGGGAGAGAGAGAAACACTGAGCAGTTGATTCTGACTAGAGATCGAGTCCACACCCTGGGTATGTGCCCTGACCAGGAATCAAACTGGGGACCTTTTGGTGCATGGGACAGGTGGATGGATGCTCAACCATCTGAGCCACACCGGTCAGGGCCCTGATGCATAGATTGATTCTCCTTAACTATTTGTTGAATGAATAAAGAAGCAAAAGATTGATTAGATGGGATGAGGTTGGGAAAACCTTGTAGAAAAGTGGATTTGCCCTGGCTGGATGGCTGAGTTGGTTAGAATGTCATCCCATACACAGAAAAGGTTTCAGGTTTGATTCTCGGTCAGGGCACATACCTAAGGTTGCAGTTCCATCCTGGTCAGGGCATGGGGTGCGGTTGGGGTGTGGGGTGCATATGGGAGATCCGTGTTTCTCTCTTTCTCATCCTTGAAGGGAGACTGGTTGAGGAAAATTAGAGAAGGGAGAGAGGGGTTTTTGTGCTGGGAGGTGTTGCAGGAAGCTGAACACCTTGGCTGGAGTGGAAGGCCATGTTGAGCAGTGGTTCTCAAACTTCCTAATGCTGCGACCCTTTAATACAGTTCCTCATTTTGTGGTGACCCCCAACCATAAAATTATTTTCGTTGCTACTGTTAACAAATCGTAATGTAAATATTTGTGTTTTCTGATGGTCTTATGCGACCCTGCTATCGGTTCTCAACCTGTGGATCTTGACTCACAGGTTGAGGACCGCTGCTTTCGAGACTAAGACCATCGGAAAACACAGATATTTACATTATGATTCATAATAGTAGCAAAATTACAGTTATGAAGTAGCAACAAAAATAATTTTATTTTTTAGCAAGGTCGCATAAGACCATCAGAAAACACAGATATTTACATTACGATTCATTAACAGTAGCAACGAAAATAATTTTATGGTTGGAGGTCACCACAACATGAGGAACTGTATTAAAGGGTTGCGGCATTAGAAAGGTTGAGAACCACTGATGTTGAGGAACAATAAATGAGAATGAACCTTGGCTGATATGGCTTAGTTGGTTGAGTGTTGTCCCATGCACTGAGAGGTCACCAATTCGATTCCTAGCCAGGGCACATGTCTGGATTGCAGGCTCAGTACCCCAATCAATGGTTTTCTCAACGATGTTTCCCTCTTTCTCTTTCTCCCTTCCTTCCTCTCTAAAATCAATAATAAAATTTAAAAAAAATTAAAATTTTTAAAAAAGAAAAAAATTAGCCCTAGTGGGTTTGGCTCAGTGAATAGAATATTGGCCTACAGAGTGAATGATCCTGGTTTGATTCCAGTCACGAGCATTTACCTTGGTTGCAGGCTCCTTCCCCGGCCAGGACTCAAGCCCGAGTCAACCAATCAATGTGTTTCTCTCACATTGATATTTCTTTCTGACTTTCCCTTCTCTTCCACTCTCTCTAAAAATCAATGGAAAAATATCTTCAGGTGAGGATTAACTTAATTAATTAATAAGAAAATTGGAGGGAGTATGGGAGGGGATGAAAAGAGAATCTTGAACTGTGGTCCCAGGTACAGGAATTCATTCATTCATTCATTCATTCATTCATTCATTCATTCATTCAGAAAGGGTTCTCTGAGGCCCACTGTCCAGGAATGTGTTCAGGATAGTAGTGAGACACCTCTGCTATTCTCAGGATAGCAGTGACCTGTGGAAACGATGTCGAGGTCAGGCTCTGGAGAGGAAGATTCCCACACATGTGGGTGCACGTTAAAGCATTAATGCAGATAAGGAAGTGTGTGGGATGGGTTGGAGCAGGAAAGGGGCCGGGCAGTCTGCTGGATGACAGTTGCAGGAATCCAGGTGTGAGGCAACCATGGACATGGAGAGGGACTAGCAAGAGGAATGACAAAGGATGGCAGCAGAGGAAGGGAGGACCCTGAAGAGAGATGGGTGGCAGAGGTCTCAGCATTGGTGCTGAGAAGTTGGTGGTGCGATACTTCTCTAGGGCAGGAGATGATGGTTTTAATTTGGGGCATGCTATGGGTCCGGAGAATATAGCCAAGCGAAGTACGTGTCTTAACAAGCCAGAGTGGAGGTTCTCAAACTCTTATCAGCCTCTGTATCATCTGTAGGTGCTGCTTTTACTCACCAGTGACTCTCAAAGGGAGAGGGAGGGAACACTTACCACAATCTCCAGTGAGGGTGTGCATGTGTGGGATGGAGGCAGGTTCTTTAAGAACTCTCCCCTGGAGATAAATATATTTCCTAAGGGGAGGGGGGACACTGACTCACTACTCCCCTCTTTGGAAATCATTGGCCTCATCTGTAATGGAGGACAGGTCAGCCATTAGGTCAGCCTTGTTTGTGTGTTTTTTTGCCCCTCCCTCCGGTTCTGGGTGCTGAGAAGATACCCAAGAAGATAGGCCACTATCTCTGACCAAGATGCCCTCTCTGGTCTCTTAGAGAGTGTATGGTCTAGTGGGAAGATCGTATCTACTCACCCAAGATAATTCTATTACGATAAAGCGCCAAGAATACGTAAAGTTAATTCGTGTTATTAAAGTTCACAGGGGGCTGAGCATCTAATGAGCTTGGGTAAGGGAAGCCTCATTAATGGAGGGCTTCAGGGCAGGGAGGTGGGGTTGCAACGGGGCTTTGGAGAAGCTTCATGAGCTCCTCCAAGGTTCTGACGTTCAGTGAACAAACATAACGCGATGAACAAATTCTAGCCAGTGTGGCATAGCTGGTTGGGCATCATCCTGTGCACCGAACGGTTGCTGGTTCAGTTTCTGCTCTGGGCACATGCGTGGGTTGCGGGCTCGATCCCTGGTAAAGAATGTGCAGGAGGCAGCTGATCCATGTTTCCTTCTGATATTTCTCTTTTTTCTTCTTTTTCTAAGTGAAAGTCTTAAAAAATCCTTACCGGAGAAGGGGACAGCTGAGCAGCCTGGTGAGGTAGCTGGGTCAGAGTAGACCACAGGGTCGCCTTCCACCCCCTGCTGGAGCCCCAGCAGGAAGCCACACTTTAAAGCCTGCCCACACGGAAGTTGTGGGGGAGTTGGAGGGGTGCTGGGCTACCCCCTCAGCTGTCTCTCCACAGGCACCCCCGGCTTCCTGCCCTTCCCCTGCTCCAAGTCACAGCTACACAAGCTGGGGTCTGGGTGCTCTGAGCTCACTTGCTTCTGCTGCTTTGTTGCAAGATGCAGCTGCTGAGGATGGTGCTCACTGGAGCCAGCCAGTGCTAACCAAGGGCGCTGCTGCTGGGGGCCACAGGGGACCTGGGCGATGGCACTGACTGTCTGGCATCCCTTCTTGTGTGTTCGCTCCTGGAAGTGGGTATCCAGAGCTCCGGAGCTTTTCCTGTGCTGCCAGTGTGTTTGGGGAGGGGCTGAGGAGGCAGAACTGGCCTTATTTTCTAAGGATTGTCTGGGACCCCAAACAAGTCCCCAGACTCAACCTAACTGGCCAGAGCCAGCTAGGCTGTGGGAATGTAGCAAATCCGGTGTGTGTGGAGGGGCAGCCTTAGTTGGCTTCCTTCTGGAACTGGGGGCCTGGGAGAGAACTGCAAGGGTGAGGCTTATCTATAGGGGTTGGGTGAGCTGGGAGGAGGAGCCAGGATGGGGCCTAGTCTAAAGGAAGGATGCTGAGGGGTGGGAAGGAATTGGGGAAGGGATTGAGTGGCTCTCAGGGAGGGGTGGGTAGTGACTTGAGGGGAGGAAGCCAGAGATCCAGGGAGACTTCCTTTTGGGATGGAATGGGAGAGGGGGCCACTTCCCGAAATAGGGGGGCCCAGTGGGACAGGAGTCCGTTGCCTGATTCTTTTGAGAAGGAGGGGAGGGAGGAAAGGGGGCGCACAGGAGGAAGAGATCCGGTACTACCATCTGCTGGCTGGCCCTTTGGTCTTTCTGCTGACTCATGGGCCTGGAGGAGCTGGGGAACTGCTGGTTCCCTCTCCCCTCCCCCAGGCCCTCTCCCTCCCTCTGGCCTGAGTCACTGGGCGGTGCTTCTGGGAAAAGATTTCCCTTTCCCGGATTTGACTTAACCCCCAAAGTGCTGCCCAAGGAGCGGACACGTGGCTGAGAGTGCTTCCCTCCCTCCTGCCTTCCTGGGAAGTTAATTCTTCACAGGCTAGAGGTCCTTGAGAAGCTCCCCCCCCCCCCCAGCCTGTCCAGGAACTGAAAGCCCTCCCCCCCTGACTCCCCCACCCCGGCCTTCTCCCCCAGTTCATCCTGGCTCTGCCTCTGTCTGTTGGCTTAGCGCCCAGCCTCCCTGGATGGAATGCCAAGTGCCCACGACCTTAGGTGCTGTTTTCTCTCCTTCGGGAAAAGCTCTTCTTTCGGGATCGGGAAGTTCTTGTCATTAACTCCTCACACTCTTCCTGTTGCCCTGGAAGCCCCAGTCCTGCTCAGGGGAAATGGTGCAGGCGCCCCCCACCCCCGGAGTGGGCCAAGAGGGGCGGCTGCCCTCTGAGGAGGGGGGCATGCGTCTTTGGGAGCTGCTCAGGTTTGCTGCCGTGTTTCTGAGTGTGGCTTCCCTTGGGGGTGCCCCAGGCCCTGGCATTGGGGTTGCTGCAGTGTCTCCCGAGGGATGACTGAGGTACACAAGCTGCCTGTTGATATGCGGGGCCACTGGGGCTGCGGGCTGCTAGGCCCTCCGGTCTGGGCCGAGGTTTCCGTGATCTGATGAGTCTGTGGCTCCCCATTATTTAGTGTATTTGAGGACATCCTCTTTTCTTCACATAAACAGCTCTTACAGCAGAGAAACAAAAACCGAGAACTAGGAAAGCCAGCAAGAGACTGAGCAAGGAGCAAAGTCTGGATTTGATAGAGCACTGACCCTGGCTTTGCCGTCCAGGCACCTAAGCCAGAAATGGGCCAGTGAGTCAGCTGCCATGGGCTTGGCCCACGGCTTCCTTGGGACTCCCTGGCGGCCCCCGCTCCCCCTCCCCCCCCGACGCCCCCCCCACCGCCCCTCCCCCTGCCCCATACTCCCCTTCGCTCCTGACTTGACTGAAACTTGAGCTTGGATCCCCAGCCTCTGGCCACTACATGCCTTTGCCTACTGTCTCCATGGGAATTTTGTCACCCCTAACCCATCCTTGACCGTGAACTTTCCCTTTAACTCCCCTCTCCCTGGCCCTGGCCGACCTGGAGTATTTGTGCAGATTAGGTGGTGGGAGGGGTGTGGCATGGAGTCTGGGGGTGGGATTCTGAGTGAGTTTTTGATATAAATTTATTAAGAAACCTAGGCTGCCCTAACCAGTTTGGCTCAGTGGATAGAATATCTGCCTACAGACTCAAATTCCGGTCAAGGGCATGTACCTTGGTTGCGGGCACATCCCCAGTAGGAGGTGTGCAGGAGGAAGATGTTTCTCTCTCATCGTTGTTTCTAACTCTCTCCCTCTTTCTTCCTCTCTGTAAAAAAAACAATAAGATATATTAAAAAGAAAAAAAGAAACGAATCTCATGCTTCTGCCCAGAAACCGTGCCCACAGGGACAGTACTTACCTCCATTCCACTGGGATCTGACTAAGAGCCTCATTGCTGGTATCACATAATATAGAAACAGTGATCCCACTGGCCACCTCTGCGAACGCTCACTTTCTGGTCACATAGCGCTCAGAGAAACAACCTCAATCGTTGGGACTGCTGATTGGGAGGGAAGGGGCAGCATAGAGGTGACCTGTCAGTTTCTAATTAAAAACAACAACACATTCTTGAACATCTGCCCTGTGTTCGACACAGTTATTGGCCATGGGGAAATAAGGATAAGATACAACTGGGCCAGGGGTCTCCCAGGCTTGAGTTGAAGGGACATAGGACATTATTACACAGGACAACTGGAGGACAATTATGCGCTAGATTGCACGGTGCCAACTGTTCAAGCTCAGGTCCTGATGGGATCTCCTCTGCTGTTTCTTCCCCAGGTGCTCCTGGCACTGTTGGTGGATATATTCCCTTCAGGGGTCATTGGACTGGTCCTGCACTCCAGGAACCGGGAGAAGAGAGACAGCCAGTGTCCCCAGGGAAAATACATCCACCCTCAAAACAGCTCCATTTGCTGTACAAAGTGCCATAAAGGTAGGATAACAGTGACTCTTCTCCTTGTGGGCCCTGCTACTTTCTTTCCTTTTGTCCCCAAGTCTCCTGATGTAGCTGCTTCTCTTTGGCTGAGATTTTCTCTTCTCCTTTCCTCTCCGGAGAGCGGCCCTGGCTACTCTCCCTAGCACCGGGTTCCTTCCCTGAGCTCTCCGCTGCAGCCTAACCCAGACCCTCCCAACCACAGGGACCTACCTATACAATGACTGCCCAGCCCCAGGGCAGGACACAGTCTGCAAGGAGTGTGAAAAGGGCACCTATACTGCAGTCGAGAACTTCCTCAAACAATGCCTCCCCTGCTCCAAATGCCGGAAAGGTGAGTCTCAGGGGAGAGCAAGGGCTCTAAGTAGGATGGGCCAGGTGGGCATGGAGAGGGGTGTGCATGTCTGTGCTGCTGGGTGCGGGCAGAAATGCGTGTGCCTGTGAGATAGAGTGTGTGGGTGGGCAAGAATGCGTGCCACTGAGAGAGGCTCCTACCCCAACTCTTCCCCTCACCAGAAATGGACCAGGTGGAGATTTCTCCTTGCATGGTAAACCAGAACACCGTGTGTGGCTGCAGGAAGAACCAGTACCAGGAGTCTTTGGATGACAATCTTTTCCGGTGCCGGGACTGCAGCCCCTGCCTCAACGGCACGGTGCACATCTCCTGTGAGCATGGCCCTCCTGACCCCAGCCTCATCCCCATTGCATGGGTGGGCCCTGTCTTAGGGGGAGGGTCTCCCATTTGAGCACCCCTTTCCTAAGAGACAGCATTTCCAACCTTCCCACTCCTGCAGTCTGTGGGGACACCTCCACTCAGGCCATCTATCCTGGCCCCCTCCCAGCTCCCCCTCTGTTCCTCTAACGGTGCTGCCCTCTCCCCACAGGCAGTGCGAAGCAGAACACCGTGTGCATTTGCCACGCAAATTTCTTCCTAAAAGACAACAAGTGCATCTCCTGTGATAAGTGAGTATCTCCCAGCTGCTGGGCACTGGGTCAGGGGGCACAGGGTGGCTGTGGTGAGAGCCACCAGCAGGACAAGGGAGACACCCCAGGTGCTCTGGCTCCCATTGGTTGGTTGAGTGGGAGACACTTCATGTCAAGACAGCAGGTGGGCCTTCTCCTTTCCTCCACTTTATTGGTCAAATCTTAAGAAGTCTTTAGGGACAGACTCAGACACCAGGGACTTATAGTTCTACCTCGGGCATTCAGATTCTTCTTTTTCTGACATTAAAATTCTTGGGTGACAGTGTCTCTAATTAATTCACATCTCTGAAATCAGACTGCATCTTATAACAATGGATGATGTAGCATGGTTTAACTTGTAGCTCTGGGTGAGTGTTTTATGCAAGTAACGGTGCCTCCTAGTGTTGATGGTATTGTAATATTTCCTCCCCAGTCCCTTTGACCAGGCCTCCGCACTTCTGGCTCTACAGAGGCTGTTCTTGAATACTTGCTTGCAGAGAAGAAACTCTGAGGGCTCTAAAGTTGAACTGACCGGGGTTTAAATCTCAACTTAGCCATTTATTGGCTGTGCAACTTTGGGCAAGTGATGTAACATCTCTAAGTCTTAATTTTTTTATTTATTTTAATTTTAATTTTACCATTATGGGTAATGCCTGGCAGGTGTGGCTCAGTGACTGAGCATTTGCCCATGAACCAGGAGGTCACGATTCCATTCCTGGTCAGGGCACATGCCTGGCTTGCAGGTTCCATCCCCAGTAGGGGGCGTGCAGAAGGCAGCTGATCAATGATTCTCTCTCATCATTGATGTTTCTCTCTCTCTTTCTCTCTCCCTCCTTCTCCATTTCCCTCTCCCTCTCCTCTCCTCTCTCTAAAAACCAATAAAATATGTTACAAAAAATAAAGTAAGGATAATAATGATATCCACTTGGCGAAATTGTAAGAACCACGATCTATGGCTACAGAATGTTTGATAAGAAACTCTTTTCTTTTTCTCCCAGCTAAGTTTTGTCTCTGCTCGAAAGAGCTTTACACCCATCCCATAGGGTTCTCATCATGAGCTTGTGAATCTGAATCTTCCTGCTTTCAGATTCCTGGTGAGAACTCACCTTCTCAAGATCATTCCAGGCTTGCCATGTAGTTCTCATCACTCCACGCTGCCCCGTGACCACTCCCAACATGGGAAGGGAGGCTTGTTCTAGAGTGCTCTCTGGTGCCGACCAGCAATGTGTATTTTTAAATTTTTCACATGCACGTTTGACCCCTCCCTCAAAGTCAGATATTGTCTAGATGCAGTGTTTCCCAAACTTTTGACATATGTGTACCCCTTCTATAATTTTCATAACTCTGAGTACCCCTCGTACTCATGAGAACGTAGAATTAGGCGCAGCTAAGCACGGTGCAGTGCATATCCCCACCAAACTCTGGTGCCACCAAATTCTTTCTATACTCCTGGGGATGCCTACCACACTTTGGGAAACACTGGTCTAAAGCAATGCCATCTTGAGAAAAGGCTCTATAACTTCTCTTTGCCACAGGATTCTCTTCAGCAGAACAATGATAAAGTAACAATCCAATGACAGCTACCACTTGTTGAGCACATACGATATAGCAGGCAGGATTTTCTCACTCAGTCCTCAATCCTGATAGGTGGGTAGGATCCCTGTTTTCCTGATGAGGAAACAAAGACTTACAGGTTACATGACTTGCTTGGAGTCACACTGCTAGCCAATGACTGGGCTGGAATTTAAACCCCAACCCTGACTGCTTTTAACTGTTTTCCTACACAGCCTCTTCAAGATAAGTTTTAAATTATTTAAAAAATATTTTTGATTGATTTCAGAGAGGGAGAGAGAGTAGAACATCAATGATGATAATCACTGATTGGCTACCTCCTGCACGCCCCCTACTGGAAACTGAGCCCACAACCCAGACATGTGCCCTTGACCGTAATCAAACCCCGGACCCTTCAGTCTGCAGGCTGACGCTCTATTCCCGGAGACAAACCAGCTAGGGCTAACTTAGATGATTTTGTGTTCATTTATTTCATTCCTGTGCATCAGTTCCCAAGCTAATTTTAATTTTCACTCTTTTTTCAAGAGATAGTTAAAATACTTGTAAAGCAGAGAATTCCCAACAATGTTTTTTTTTTTTCCTTTCCTTTTTTTTTTAAACCTGTATTCCTATGGTAAGGTCCCTACTCACCTGTGCAATTTCCTCTTTCAGTTGTGAGAAAAACTCGGAGTGCACGAAGTTGTGCCCATACACAGATAACCTGGTTACTCAGAGGCCTCCGGACTCAGGTGAGGAGAAATGACCGGGAGCCCATGCTCACCGTGCCCCGCACCCACCCATTAGCCAGCCCTACTTCCTCCTGCAGCCAGCCCTGATCTCAATCTGCTTTGCCTCCAGTGCTGTTGTCCCTGGTGATCTTCCTTGGTTTCTGTCTTTTATGCCTCCTCTTCATGGGCTTAACATGCCACTTCAAACGGTGGAAGCCCAAGCTCCAGTCCATCGGTGAGTGGGGCCGCTGGGAGGGGAGGGGGTGCCAGTGGGGGAACTGAGAGGAGGCGGGGTGGCAAGACGCACCAGCGCGGAGGGAGTGAGCATCCCCCCAGTTGGCTGCGGAAGGCTCCCTTGGTGGCAGGCGGCCCTGGGTGGTGGTAAGAGGTCACCCTGCATCAGTAGCTCTCTCATCCCTGGAACCACATAGGCCCTGAAGCTTGCCACCACAAGTCCCCGGGGCCAGCCTCAGTACGGGCGCCAGGGCTGAGAGAGGAAGTGAAATTTGTGACATATTGTTTCTTTTTTTCTCAGTTTGTGGGAAATCGACACCTGTAAAGGAGGTAAGATGAAACCAGAGATCCTCCCCATCCCCCTTTCCCACTTTCCTGACTGTCCATTGTAATCTTGTAAGAACCAAATCAGGTATTGTAACCCATGACCCTCAGTATCCCCTAACTCCCTCTAGTCCAACCCCATCCAGAATAGAATAGAGGGCCAGGCTCTTTTTACTCTCAACCCCACGAATGCTGTACATCGTCTCCAGGATCCCTAACTCCCTTTAGTCCCAACCCCATCCAGAAAGAGAAGGCCGGGCTGTTTTTGCTCTCCCCCCACGAATGCTGTACCTCGTCTCTTTCAGCGGGTGCCACCGGAGCTCCTGGCCTCCGCCCCAGGCTTCAGTCCCACCACAGGCTTCAGTCCCGTCCCCAGCTCCATGCCAAGCCTCACCTCCACCCCTGCTGAGTGGTCCGACTTCAGAGCTGTACCGCCGCCACCCAGAGAGATGGCCCCATCCCACCAGGGGGCCGGCCCTCTGCTCACCGCGACTCCAGCCTCCACCCCCAGCGCCACCCTGCTTTCCAATTGGGAGGGCAGCACCTACGCGCAGCGCCCAGATGGTGAGCACCCACCCGGCCAGGAATCCGGTTGGGGTTGCAGGCGGGCGGGGCTCCAAGAGAGCGCGTGCATGAACCGGGGGCGGGCCTGGGAGCCACAGCTCCAGGGCTTACCCCACCCGCCTCTTCCCTGCAGCGGACCCCGCGACGCTGTACGCCGTGGTGGACGGCGTGCCCCCGTCTCGCTGGAAGGAGTTCATGCGGCGCCTGGGGCTGAGCGAGCACGAGATCGAGCGGCTGGAGCTGCAGAACGGCCGCTGCCTGCGCGAGGCGCACTACAGCATGCTGGCGGCCTGGCGGCAGCGCACGCCCCGGCGCGAGGCCACGCTGGAGCTGCTGAGCGTCGTGCTCCGCGACATGGACCTGCTGGGCTGCCTGGAGGAGATCCAGGCGGCGCTGTGCGGCCCCGCCTCCCACCCCCTGCAGCCCCACCCGTCCCGGTGAGGCCACGCCCCCGGGAGGGGCCTGCCGGGAGCACAGCGGTTTCCTGCCCTAGGACTTCGGGAGGACTTCACAAGGGACCCTTTCCTCTGGACCTCCTTTTTTTTTTTTTTTTTTTTTTTTCTGCAGAGGAAGGGCCTTGGATGGGCAGGCACGAGCTGGCAGCCACTTCCTTGGTGCTACTCCCTCGGTGCTCAGAGCTCCCTGAGCTGTCTGAGCACTGTCGGAGGGTCAGCTGTGCGTGTGCATGTGCGTGTATGTGTGAGTGAGTGAGAAAGAGGGAGGGGGAGAATGTGGATGGATAGATGTGGTGTGTGCGGTTGTGAGAGTCTGAGTGTGCCCCGAGCCCAAGCGGGTGGTTGTGGGGGTGCCGTGCCTGGTCCCTGTTTCCGGCCTGGAGGACCCATCAAGGCCCGTTAACAGCCCTGGTTGGTCCCGGCCCTTTTCCACACACACAAACAATCCGTATCGATGATGCCATGCTAATGGAACCCGGCACCCCTCGGTTCCCTGCCCGGACAAGCACAGAGTCAGCTGAGCTGTCCCGGGCAGGGACAAGCACACACCGTGGAGCCTCCCGCTGGAGCTGTGGACTTGTGTAAATACACTAAAACTGGAGAATTAAAGCTCTGCTCCTGGAGGGGGTGCGCCTTCTGAGTGGTGGTGGGAGCCCGGGCAGGGCCTGGGTCCTGCTGGGTGGGATGGTGACAAGTCCCCCCGGGCCTGGTACCCCGCCGTCCTCCAGCCCGCTGCCGGGAGGAGCAGCCTGTGTGCACTGCTGCCCCTTCGGGTTCTTCCCACCCTCGGCGCTGACCGGGCAGGCAGTTTTATGCACAACTTTATGTGGGCTCTGGTGCCTATGGTACACAATGTACAGCGCGATCCGCAGAGTTCTTAGAGCAGGAAGGCCCGGTATCGCGGGCCAGGCTTCTTCATGGGGAGTGTGGGCCTTGAGGTGCAGTCCTGGGGAGGCAGGGGGTGGTGACCAGCACTCTTGGGAAGAGATTTCCTCGGGCAGCAATGCCAAACCAAAGGTCCCACGTGTTCCTCACACCTCTCTGAAAAGACAGGGGGTGAAGAGTGAGGCTCAGCGCCCGGCCCTGCCATGGCCCCTGCTCTGGGTCTGCCCTTCTATACCGACCCCTCCCCACTGACCATTTACTCTGACACTTCCCCCTCCCTGCCCACTCCATCCTGACCTGCCTTCCCCTCTGCTCCCTCCCAGCCCACCTTCCCTTCAGCACTTACGATGCGGACAGGGGGGTGTCCAGCCGTATGATGTGGGGCCCACGCATCCTCTGCAATTGAACCCGAGTCAGCTTCCGAGGCCCGCTGTCCCCGGGCTCCGGGACACCCTCGATTCTTTGGCTGGCCAGCTCCTTCCGGATCTCTCTGAGCATGTCCTCAGCACTGAGGGGGCCAGGGGATCTTCGGAAGAAGGACCCCTCTTCTTCCTCGTCCTCTGAGGATGCCCAGGGGCTTTCCCCAGCAGAGTCCGCGTGGGTCGGCGAGTGTGGGAGCTGCCCCCGAAGCTGGGCCCTATGCAAGGTCTCCACTACCACGTTCCCGCCCACCGAGGTCCCTTCTTCTTCCTCGGACCAGGTGGGCGTTTCTCCCCTGGGAAGGCTGCTTCCTCTTCGGATAACGTCCCCCGGCAGTTCAGGGGTGCTTCGGCGCTGGAGAGCTTGGGGGTCAGGAGGCTGAGGGCGCAAGGTAACATCCCGGAGGTCCAGGGCGGAGAGGGTGATGCCGGGGTGCCGTCGAAGGGCCCATGGGCGCAGCCGGCTCAGAGGGGAGTGGGGCTCCTTGGGGGAGACTGGGATCAGAGTGCCGTAGCCAGAGTCTGAGGTGTCATCTGGTACCGAGGGGATGTCTTCATCCGTGTCGTCCGTCACCACCAGTTGGGGGATGATGGTGCAGAACTCGGAATTCCTACAAATGAATGAATGGTCAGAGTCTGATGCTAAAAGGGGTCAAGTTCAAATCCAGGAAGTATCCCTTGACCGATCCATTAAGAAATGGTCCCTCCTCCAAATTTAATTTGGTGTCGCCTTTGCACTGTTTTATCATCTCTGGTTGGACTGGAAACTCACAACACTAGGTCCAAGTCCTTGTGTCAAGTAGGTGCTCAGCTATTTTCTGGGAGGTTCCTGAGATCCGAGGTTACCCCCGTGATGGCTCTTTTTTTCTCCACCCATACTGCTGAACAGCTGTGTTTAAGGTTGAACCTTTCACACTCTGGGAATTTGGACTAAGGTGGTCCCTACAACTCGGACTTTCTGCCAATCCCTACCGGCCTTCACTCCACCCCCAGGCAGTTTGCGCTTCTTGTGTTTATTTCTTTCAGCCTGCTCCAACCCTAGGTTGGCTACCCTCCTAGGCTGCCCCAGGAGGCCCTTCACATGGCTGATGCCAACCTGTTCTCCAACCTGCAGCCTGGGTTCCCCAGTGTATTCCTAATTCACCCCGAGCGCTGTCATATCATTGTTCAGCCTTTCCTCGTCTCTCCCTCTTTACCTGCAGCCTCCTTCCTGTGGGAGAGCTTATGGGCCCTGTGGGTCTTACCTCCTCTCCACGCTGCTCTGAGAGCCCTCTGGGGAAGGTGTGGAGGGCCTGGTGCTCAGCGACTCTTGGTCCCGGTCCCTGTAGAGGGCCAGGAGTTCTCTCTTCTGTTGGACGTATTCCTCTGCCTTCAGCTTTTGCAGGGTGACCTGGGATGGGAATACTTCTATTAAGATCCCTGATTATTATTGGTTAGAGTGTTGTCCTGATGTGCCAAGGTTGCAGGTTCGATCCCCCCCCTCAGAGCACACACAAGAATCAACCAATGAGTGTATAAATTAGTGGAACAACAAATCAATGTCTATCTCTAATACATTTTAAAAATATTTAAAATTATATATATATATATATATATATATATATATATATATATATATATAATCCTCTGTTATTGAGCATTTGCTGTATGCCAGGCACTGGGCTAAGTGCTTTACGTACGTTATCTCCTTTAGTCTTCACAACAACCGAATGAGGCAGATATTATTTTTTTACTCCTACTTTGCTACTGAGAAATAGAGACTGAGGTTAGTGACTGCCAAGATCAGGAAGTAGGAAGTGGGATAGAACCAGGATTTGAACTCTCGAGCAGAAGACCCCCTTTCTTCCATATACAATTCTTCCTGTTTCTCATGCCCCTTGGCAAGCGCGCTCTCTCTCTCTCTCTCTCTCTCTCTCTCTCTCTCTCTCTCTCTCTCTCTCTCCTGCTTCCTCCTCCTCCAGGAAGCCCTCCCTGATTGGTGGTGATGGTGGTATAAGTCCTGGGTCCTCAGGTTACCCTTCCTCCTGCCACCAGGTTGGGTAGAGGAAGGGTTTGTCCTGGGCTGAGGACTCTACTATTCTTCAGCGATAAAAACAAGACTGTCTCAGAGGTTTGGAAGGAGGATACATTATGTTTTTTGTCTTCCTGCCTCAACGTTTTCATCGAGAGTCGTCATCAGAATAAAATAGTGACATCTGAATAGTGGTTTACAGAGCACCTCCACATGCACAGTCCTTTGAGACACACCATCATTCTTCAGGGTGGAAAAGCATGGATATTAGCCCATTTTACAGATGAGAAAACAAGACTTAGATGAAGGGATTGCTCAAGGAGGCACAGTAGAGAGAAACAGCACCGGGACTGGGCCTTTCCCTGAGTCCTAGGGCAGTCAGTAATCAAGGGCAACAGAAAGGGTTCAGAGTTGTGAAAGGATAACATCTGCTGGGGGAGGAGGAGGGAAGGCCGCAGAACAGAGGAAAGGCTGAAGGAGGAGGCTTGGTGAAGGGGACTGGAGACTGCTGGGGGCAGCGCTGATGTCAGTATTCACTGGATGGCCCATCGTTGTTAAAGTACTCAAGTACTTCCATGTTGGTAAGCCAAAGGGTGCTGTCTGAGCCTTCTGTCTCCCTTCCTAGAACTACCCTGCCTCCCAAAATCCTGCAACTGCAGGGGAGTTAGCATCCTTGCACAGTGGACTTCTAAGACCCACCCTCTTCCCAATACTCCACTCTGATTGGTTGGTGCCCATGCCATTCTGGTTGATAAGCATTTGACTATCTCCCCACTTCAGGTATATCAGGTATATGAACCAGCAACTATTGGGTGCCTGGACTTCCCTAAAGCTTCTCAGGAACACAGTGGTTAGGGAGATCAGTACAAGAGGCATATTGGAGAATGGTGAACAGGAATAGGAAAATGACATCAACGACTTGAGCTTCTATTTCCAATTCTCCTTATCCTGGCTCTCCAGTCACAGTCTCCAGAGGGAGAAAGCATTGCGAGGATTCTAAGTGGTCTCATAAGATTTGGTCTGTTGGCCAGAGCAAGGGATGATGGTTCCCGGGAGCAGGAACCCAGCACACCAGGCCAGGGCCGGGACCTCTCCCTGTCCCTAGCTGTGATGAGGGTGGGAGGGGCCATTCTGGGGCCTGGGAGCGGTTGGGACAGCCGGCTTGTCCAGCTAAGATGCCATGTCCTTTTACCCTACGAGACCCAAGTTTAATGTTGTGTTTGGGACGTTCAGGATAGGGACAGTGTGTGGAAGAAAAGAACTGGACATGGGGGTGGGGTGTCTGTAAGGAACGTCCAATACCAGCATCTCCACTAACCTTGAACCTGACCCTTTTCCCAGGAAGAAGCAGGGAGGCAGGGACCTCAGCCCCCAGGGGCTGGGGCTGTTTGAAGGCCCCCCCCTCCTCCTCTCCCCCCTCCCCCCCCACGCTACCCTAAAGCCTCTCCAGTAACCCAGAGGCTTTCTCATCAGGGATAACAGGAAAGAATGCTGGGGGTGGGGTGAGAAAGGAAGAGGAAATTGGCGCTTGAGCCAGACTGTGACACCCCAGCAGCCGGGAACAGGAGGGGGGCTACCTCAGCACACTCTTTTTCCCTCGCCTGGGCGGGGGCCTGACGCCTTGAGAGGAAATGCCTCCTGTTCCGCTGTCCCTGGGCGGCTTCCAGATCCACCCACTCTCCTTCCAAAGGCCCCCAGATGTTGAGGCAGCTCCCTAGTCAGATGAGTCTCCAGCACCCCTGACCACCCTTCTCTTGATGACAATAACAAGCATTAATGGAGCGCCCAATTGGGGCTGGGCTTCGGGCCAAACAGTTTACAAACATAATTCTCTGTCCATCCTGCGTGGCAGTTCCCATTGTCACGGCAGTTCCCCCGAGAAACGAAACGACTCCAGCGAGAACACAGATAACCCCAGAGGGGCTCCGCCCCTCCTCTCATTTCTTGGCCTTCACCTCTTTCTGTTCCTGTCACTGGTGTCTTTTCCTCTTCTCATCCCCTAAATATGGGCATTTCCCAAGATTCAGTCTGTCTTTCCCTTGAGAAGCTCTTTTTCTCCAAAAGCTTAAGTCACTCTGGGTAGACTCCATCAGGAATAAATCTCCATCTGCATTTCTGTGCGGGGGTGGGGGGGTGAAGGGGTGGGGGGTAGAGGAGGGGGGGATTGCTGTAGATACTCTACTGCCCTCTGCAGTTTACAGTGACTGATGGGGATAGAGAGTGAAGGGGGGAGGGGGGGAAGTGGGGTTCTCTGAGAATCTGCTGTGAGATAACAGCAGGACAAATTAATTTCAAAGCTTCCGGTCTTTGTTTTGCAAAGGGAGGCGGGAGTTTTAGGCATCAGAAGTGACCTCCTTTCCTCTATTAGTCAGTAGTGAGATTACCAGGGCGCTAAATTATTTAGATAATAAAATGACAGCACTTTTTGGTGGTCCCTTGGGGGTTCTTAAAGAAGAAGGGGTGGTAGTATTGTCCTGGGACTAGGAACCAAAGGAAAAGGAGAAGGTCCTGCTGGTGGGGCTGGTAAAGAAGGGAGGCTGCCTGCAGGTAAGGGCCCCCCCTGTGGTCCTGACAGGCTGGGCTTGCCTCCAGTTTTGTCCTCTGCTCCACTTCTATCCGGCCTTCAGTACAACTGGACTGGCCACTGGAATGGTGCCGGTTGTCTGCCAGTCCAGCCATGTGGACACTGTGTTTGGGCTGGGAGAGTGGGATAGAGAGAAGGACCCCGTCACAAAGAGAGAGGGAAGTATGAGGGGGTCTGAAGCTGGGCAGCCAGAGACCAGTCACCACTGAAACCACCCCCACTCCACACCCAACTCTGTCCCCTACCTCTGTCTTCCTGAGGACTGTCACCATCTTGTTAGGTATTTAAGGAAGTTGCAGCCCACAGGGCTGGAGGACACAATGTCTTGAGGTTCCTCCTTTCACCCTTAATTCATTCTTCTTTTTTTTTATGGCAAAAACCCCCCCATATTTATTTTTTTACTCTCCCAATTCAGAATTTTTAATATGGTATTTAAACCAAGACTAAGCTCTGGTTTTTCTTTCCTCAAATAATCTCTCCATATTATAATATGATATCATAGATACGATTGCAGAAAGAAGGCTTAAAATTATTTAAAGAACAGACTCTTCACATATTCTCAAAAGTTTCAGAAGCCCTAACTGCCTAATGTGCTAATGACAAACCATTGTTATTTATTCATTACGGCAAGCTCTATGAGGAACACTAATTTGACTTAAATACCTTAAAAAATAATGAAGTTGCATTCTTTAGAAATAATCTACAATAAGATTTCTTTCCTGGTTCAAAATGCCTCTTCTGTTTTTAAAATTTAGGTATAATTGATATATAACATGGTATTAATTTCAGGGATACAAGGTAAGGACTTAATATATATATAAATATATATTTATATATAAACTAGAGGCCTGGTGCACGAAATTTGTGCACTGGAGTTGGGGGGTTCACTCAGCCCTCTTGGCACAGGCCTGGCCAAGAGACCCCACTGGAGCAGGATCGGGGCCAGGATGGGACACAAGAGGTTGGCCAGCAAGGAAGGGACTGTGAAAAGGCTCCAGGGCATGTCTGGCTCAAATCACTTAGCTGCCCCAGCAGAAAGCTAATCTACCCATCAGAGCATCTGCCCCCAGTGGTCAGTGCACGTCATAAGGAGCAGTTGAGTGGCCTTAGCATATTATGCTTTGATTGGTTGAATGGCCAACTGGATGACTAGACAATTAGCATATTAGGCTTTTATGTAGGATCTACACTAATGTAAGAGAAACATGCAAATTGACCACCACTTTGAGACACCCATCAGCCATTCAGAAATGAGTATGCAAATTAGCAGGATAAAGATGATGGTGTCCACACACCAGCCAGATTGAGCGGGAGGCTTGGATTGCTCCTGGCAATGAAGGAAACCAAATTTCCCGCCTGCCCAGGCTGGCCGCTGAAGGAGAGGCCTGTGGGTAGAGGACATGGAGTTGGCATGGGCAGGCCGGAGTCTTGGGTCACCGTCACCTGGGCTGACTGCTGGGTGAGGGGCCTGCAAACAGCCATCAGCCCCTCACCCAGACTGGCCAGGGGGACCCCCCAACCTGAAGGGGGCATGGCTGGCCTGCAAACTGCCCCAGCCCCTAACCCAGGCCAGTACCCCAATAGAGGCGTGGTAGGCCTGCAAACCACCACAGGCACCTTGTCCAGGCCAGCCCGCCCCCCAAGGGAACCCTACCCTGATCCGAGACACCCTTCCTTCAGGATAAACCAGCCGACCCCCATCCGTGTACCAGGCCTCTTTATTAATAAAAGGATAATATGCTAATTAGATTGGGAGACCTTCCAGACAAAGCCATGGTGGCAGGGCTGAGGTAGAGGTGGTTAGGGGCCAAGAGGGGAGGGCATTGTAGGTGATCAGATTGGTGGGGGTGGTGGGTAATTGGAGGTGAGCAGGCCAGTAGGCAGAGTGGTTAGAGGCAATCAGGCAGGCAGGCAGGCAGGCAGGTGAGCAGTTAGGAGACAGCAGTCCCGGATTGTGAGAGGGATGTCTGACTGCCAGTTTAGGTCCAATCTGGCAGTCAGACATGCCTTGAGGGGTCCCAGATTAGAGAGGGTGCAGGCCGGGCTGAGGACCCCCTCCTATGCACAAATTTCGTGCACCAGGCCACTAGTACATAATGAAATGACCACTACACTAAGTCTAGTTAACATCCATCACCATACAGTGTTAGAAAAAATTTCTTCTTGTGGTAAGAACTTTTAAGATTCACTCTCTTAGCAACTTTCATAGTTCACCCTCATTTCTCACCTGAACTCAGGTCTGCGTTTCCATGTTTCCACAAGGCTCCAAGATGCCTCCCCTTGGCTGTCTCCCACTGACGCATTTCCAAAGTGCTTCTGTTAAAAACTGAATATTGCTACCCTAGGAAACAACTCCCAGGAAACAACAACTAAATAAACAGGTTTCCCTTTCTAAGAATTCATTTCTGCCAGGGGCACCATAGCCAAAGCAGTCTTCCCTACGGGAACCTCGGGGAGCAACCGTCCTTGGTCTCTGAAGAAGGGTTACAGGGCTGTGACCATGCATTTGCTTAATCGGAATGACCTCTGAATCTCCTCCGTGAAGCCAGGACTGCCATCAGTAATAACAGTATATCCATTTGCAGTCAAAGAAATGGAAGCTCACCTAAGATGACTCACCTAAGGTGAAAGGTAGAACTGGTGTTTGAACCTAGATGTTCATGCATTCAGTGTAGGCTTTTAGCCAGTCTCCCTAAGGCTCATCTGTTTCTTCTTCTTTAGCTCCTTTCTTCCTCTCTTCCCTCCCCCACTTCTCTCTCTTTCTTTCTTTCTTTCTTTCTTTCTTTCTTTCTTTCTTTCTTTCTTTCTTTCTTTCTTTCTTTCTTCCTTTCTTTCACAACGTGTCCCAAAAATCACAGCATTAAATAAACCTCAATATTTCACACCCAAACTAGCAAAGTAAATCTCCTGCCACCAATCTTCCCCTCCCCCAGCCCACCTGTCACTGTCACCTTACAATTCAAGACAAAGACAAAACACACTGATTTCACCTTGGCATTCCTGGCTCAAGAATCTATGGTGGTTCTCTCTCATCAACCCAATTCAGTCAGTCTCGTCCAGTCCACCCTCTTCTGTAGCTCTTGGGGGTCCAGTAGTGCGTGGTCTCCCAATCACCAGCTCACATAAACCTTTGCTCCAGGCTCAGACACACAAGTCACTGACCCCAAACAAATCCCACCCAAATGCTCCCTTGATTCTTCTGCTCACAATCTTCCCTGTCCTTTAAGTCCTGCTCCACTCCTCACACTACTTTGGTCATTCTGCTCCTGCAGTGGGTTGTACAGTAGCCCAGGAAGATCTGTCTAGGTCCTGGGAAAGAGAGTGCAAAGATCCTAAGTTAAGGACCATCCTGAATTTAGGGTGGGCTCCAAATGGGATGGCTGGTGTCTTCATGAGAGACAGGGGAGGGTAGTTTGGACAGAGGCAGAGTCTAGAGAAGCTAAGGAACAGCTGGAAGCTGGAAGGAGCAAGGAAGGGTTGTCCCCTAGAACCTTGGAGAGGAAGTGTGACCCCTTGGTTTCCAACTTCTGGCCTCCAGAACTGGGAAAGAACTCATTTCTACTATCTTAAGTAGCCCCATTTGTGGTCCCGTGCAGCTCCATTTGGCTCTGCCTTCTGAACCCTTCTAGCTTTAATCACCTACATCTGCCCACGTCACTTTCCGTACCCCCACTGGTTCCCTGTCACCTGAAGGACAAAGTTCAAGTTCCTTACGTGGCATGGGAGATGGACAAGCTGGCGGGGCCTGCCTCCCAGCCTCTCTGCCTCTGTGCCTGCCTGTGCTTTATGTCCTGGTGATACAAACTCCCAGGCTGGTGTGTCTCTCTAACACACACAGCTGTTTCATATCTCCGACCTTTGCACATTCCGTGTGTCCATTTGAAATACCTTCCCTTCCCACCCTGTTTCCCTGAACACTCCTAGATTTTCCTAGATATTTCCCCAAACAGAGCTCAGATAAGGGTTCCTCTGTGAAGGCTTCTCAGCGCACCCTCCCCCTCATCCGTTCCCTTCCTAACCAACCCACCAGGCAGAACGAATTGTTCCCTTCTGGGCTGAGTTCCATTACGTATGCATGTTTCTATCGTCATACACTAACTTGTCTAGCTAGGCTGCGGTGCACATTCCTTGAGGGCAGGAACAGTGTTTTACTGCTTTCTGATTGCCCAGCACCGAGCTGGTGCCTGCAGACAGCAAGGGCCCCAATAATGTCTGTTGATTGGAGGCTGAAGTTCAGAAGTAAATTGTTTCAAGGTGTAGAAACTTCTAGGGGATGCCATCTTGGGATCTCTGGGGGACTGGCACACACAGCAAGTGGCTTAAGGGGCTCTTCCCTCCTCTTATGATGGTCAAGAATAGTCAAGGCTGTGTCTCCCTCCTGAGGACAGTCGGAGTCTCCATCAGCTCCAGCCTTTCTCTCTTCCTCCTCCCCTCTGTGCTCCAGTTTCTGAGTTCCAGGGGCCCCATCCCTCCCTCCCACATCTGACTCTCACATACCTGGGCCTGCTGGGTCTTCTCCAGCCACTGGATACAGTCTGCAGGGCTGGGGCAGTGCACAATGAGGGCATTGGAGACGCACTGGAAGTCAGTGAGGTGGATCACCAGGAAGCTGTCTGGGTGGGGAGAAGGCCTGCTTCAAGGGCTGGACTGTCTTGGAACCCCATTCTGACTCCTCTTTCCCCCTGCCAAGAGGAAAGGGGAGGGACAAAGTCCCCAAAGGAGAGACATACTAGGGTCCCGGAGTCGTTGGCACACAAGCTTCTCCAGCATGAAGGGGGGGCGGATAACCTTGGCTTTGTCCACCCTGCGTTGAGGCTTGGTCACCAGGAGCACATCAGAGAAGAGGAACAGGTACACATCCAGCTGGGAGCAAATGTAGGATATTGTAGGAGATTGTAGGAGAAAGAGGCCAGGTCAGTGGAGCAGGGGGAAGAGTGGGACAGGGACTGGACTCATGCATGAGTGTGCACATGTGGGTGCACACATACACAGGGACAAGTGCACATTGAGGAATTCTAGGGCTAGAGGGGGTGTCAGCTTGGCCTCTTCTCTCACTTTACAGAAAGGAAAAGTGGCTGATTTGGGGTCATACAAACAATCAGAGCTGTAGCCAGAACCATGTCCTCTTCCCCATACACACACACAGAAGTGACCGAGTCACACACACACACACACACACACACACACACACACACACACACACACACCTTTCTCCCATTTCCATCTTACATGACTCTTACCCTACCTCCCATTATCTCTCCCTTCTCTTCAATCCATCTCTCATTTTCTCTGCTCCCACCCATGCTCCCTCACCTTCCCTTCTCGCCCCTCCTTCACTTTCGCAGGCCCCTCCAGCAGCAGCTGCCTGGTGTGCTCAGGAGCAACCCCCAGGATGGGGGACATCAGGTCCAGGTTGGAGAAAGGACGCAGGTTCTGAGGGACACAGAGAGGAGAGGGTCAGGGGACTGGATAGGGCTCCTGTGCACCTCCTGGCCAAGATGGGTCTTTGTTCCATCACCAGCACTGGCTCTTTCCATCTGTATTCCATCCTCTGCTTGAAGGGAGAGGAAGCATTTCAGGGCCTTTTTTCTATTCTTTTGAATTCTGCCCCTGGGACCCTCCCCAACAGTAAAGAATGATGGGCACCCCTATCTGTGTGGCACCTCTATCCCTTCCCTTCCCAGGCCTCCACTGCATCTGCTTTCCTGGGGGCCTTGCTTTCTCCGAGCCTCCTTCCCTCTCTCACCTTCTCCATCTCCTCACTGGATGGCTCCAGCACCTCATAGGGCCCAATGCGCTGGGCTGCTGCCACCAAGTTCTCCTGATCTTCGCCCTGGCGGACCTGCTTATTGATGTGTCGCAGGAAGGACTCCACAGCTGTTATCTAGGTGAGGGTGAGGTGTGGCAGGAGGAGCAGCTCAGCTCCAGATCCTGTGCATCCCACCCAACCAATGGCAACCACAGCCTGTAAGGAGGCTGGCTGGTCAGTGCCACACTGTCACATACATTTAAGAAAAGAAACCCTTGCCCTAGCTCGTTGGCTCAGTGGATAGAGCATCAGCCTGTGGACTGAAGGGTCCCAGGTTCGATTCCAGTTAAGGGCACATGCCTGGGTTGTGGGCTCGATCCCCAGTAGGGGGTGTGCAGAAGGCAGCTGATCAATGATTCTCATTATTGATGTTTCTATCTCTCTCTCCGTCTCCCTTCCTCTCTGAAATCAATAAAAAATATATGAAAAAGAAAAAGAAAAGAGATCCTCAAGAATTCCTGGAGGGCAGCTGCCCCGCACCAGCCTCCAACTCCTGGGGTACTGGCCCTGCCAGGCCACCTACCATGTCCTTCAGAGCCTGGCGGGCTTGTGCCTCAGGGGTCCTCTTGAGCACGGCCTGCAGCAGCAGTGGGTACTTGGTGATGCGCTGGTGGGGCTTGATGAGTAAGTCACCCAGCATCTGCCTTCCTGAGCGTTTGTGCTTCTCACACCACTGCCGGGAAGGTGGGCAGGGGGTCAACAGTCTGCCCCATCCTAGTTGATGGACTCAGCCTTGGGCCCAGCTAAAGATCGGGGGTGTGGGTAGAAGGGAATCCAGTTGTCTAGGGTCCACCCATCTCCCTTCCTGCCACCCCCTCTCCCACCTGCACGAAGGTACGGAAGAGAGGGTTGTTGTCTTGCTGCTCCCGGGCGTAAGCCATGGTCTGCTTCACTTTCAGGCAGTACTGGACATAGGACTGGAACCTCTGGCTGATCTAGAGGGACATGGGGAGGGGAGTGAGCAGGCAGGGAAAGAAGGTCATGAGATACAGGCTTTGGCTGCAGAGCATGGGGATCAGGGCGTACCGGTGAGGGTGGGGGTAGTGAAAGCCTCTCATAGATCCGTAGTCCAGCTCCTGCCAATCCCTACCTCTCATGACTGCCAGCCCTTCTCTCTGGATTCCAAGGAGGAGGTGAGGACCCGAGAGGCCGACCTACTGCTGCTCTCTGAGCTCCTGTCCACAGCCCCTGCCTGCCCTACTGCTCTGAATTCACTCCTGCCATCAATAATTCATCTGGAACGTTTTCAGGACATGCAGATCCCATTTCACCCGGCAGGGGTGGTGGTGATCTGAGGCTGGCCCTGTCCTGTGGAAGGGGGCCACCTATGGCTCCCAGGAGATTGTCTCCCCAACTCACTACCCTATTCCTTCCAACTCTGCAAGGCCCACATCTTCCTGGTTGGAGAAAACTGGGAAGGCCTAATCCTGGGACTCTTTCTTTCTCTTGTCATACTTCTTCATGCTCCAGGTACCCTGGTGGCCTTTTACACCCCTCACCCAGGCCCCATTCTTACTCCCAGCTGTTTGTCAGTGGATCTTTGCCTAAGAAGTGAGATGTTATAGTTGATAAGAGCTTAGGTGTAACTGTTTCCTGAGACAGCTGCATTTTCACGTCATACATAAGGGTCTCCAGAAGGCCAAAGAACCTTTGGGTCAGAGGTCATACTTGTCAAGTGAAAGGCAGGGGGTGAAGTGATATTTTGGGGAAGGGGTTCTGCCCTAGGTCATGGGAGAACTCCAGTTATGTAGACATGCCCTGCAGACAGGACCTTTGGGCTCCTCAGCCCCCCTTTCATCCAACCCTTCACCATGCCTCACCGCCAGGAAGCCGTCCTGCAGGCTGACAGGGTCCAGAGGCTGGCCAGAAGCTCGAGTCTTCTCCAGAGTAGGCCCCAGCACCTCTTCCCAAAAGCTCCGGTGGGCTCGAATCAGGCTGGGGACATTTCCAAACAGGGCCTCAGCTGACACCTGGAATAGGGAGAAGGATTTAGCAGCATGCCTTGGCAGATCACTGACAGGCAGCATTGGCCATGGACAAGCAAAAACTGTTAAGCTTGGACGTGGGGAGTGGGATGGGACCTATGGCCTGCTTGGTGTCTAGACCAAGAAGGGGGTAGGGAGGTCAGGTGGTGTCCTAGAAAATGGGGCAGTGGAAATTCCAACTGGGCAGCCTAGAGGGCTCTTGGTGACCCCTCCAACCCTACCCCCCACTTCTCGGGCTCAGAGCTCGGGATGTACCAGACTCCCCTCCTGAGCTTCCACGTACTTCTGTCAGCATTCCTACTCGTTGCAAGTTCAGCAAACCAGCGGCTAGGAGCTAGATGAAGGGAGAGATGAGGGTCTCAGTACCTGGCCTCCTTCTCTCAGGACCCCAGCCTAGCCCTTTAACGCATCCCCACCCCCCAACTTCAGTACTGCCAACCTCTCTCCCAGGATCCTGGGAAGGTCTCAAATCAGGGGAATCTCTTGGTATCCTGCCCTTCCTTCCCCCAGCAACCCTGCTCCTCTGGTCTGGGAGGATCAGAGAAAATGTAAGGGAGATGGGTATATGGCTGAGGATGGGGCCAGGGCTGGGACTGTGAGAGGCTCACATCAGTCATGATCTTGAGCTTTCGTATGTAGATCAGTTCTGTGGTCAGTAGCTCCCAGAGTGCTTCCTGTTGGTGGCAAAGCTCCTGGCTCATCTCCTGGGATGGGAGTGGGGCTGGTTCAGTTGGGAAACAGTGAAAAGAACAAAATAGCAGCTACTATTGCAGAATAGCAATACCACTTGCTACTGCATCTACTTTATAGATGACTTTTTTTGTTGTTGTTAATCCTCACTTGAGTCTATTTTTCCCCACTGAATTTTAGAGAGAGTGGAAGGGAAGGAAGGGGAGATAGAAAGAGAAACAACTATATGAGAGATATTGGTTGCCTCCTGCACACAGCCTGACTGGAGCCAGGAATTGAAGCTGCAATCCAGGTACATGCCCTTGACTGGGAATTGAACCCAAGATCCTTCAGTGCATGGGTCTATGCTTTAAACCAAACCTCCAGTGTAAAGGTGTCATCCCCATTTTACAGATGAGGCGACTAAAGCTCAGTGAGGTTTGCTGTCATGACCAAGGTCTCACTAGTAAGTGACAGAGTTGGATTTGAACCTAGGGCAGTAATTCCAAACCTTTTTTTGGCCATGCCCCACCTAACCATCTCTAAAATCCTGATTCCCATCCCCCCATGACATATAATTCTTATTATTCAAAAAGTGAATTTCTATTTACATGGAGGAAGCTTAAAAGGCCATTATCTTGGTCTAAGCAAGCTTCCAGAGAACATGGCATCCATGAAAGAGAAAAATAAAAGAACAAAAGGACAGATGAAGTACGGAGGAAGAAATCATTAAGAAATAGTTTTTAAAAATGTAGTGATATGAAAAAATAGCAAATAAAGTTTCAAAACATATAATAGACAATTGAAATGCATAAATATGTCACAATATAGTTATTTTTTAATTTTTAAAAATATATTTTTATTGATTTCAGAGAGGAAGGAAGAGGGAGAAAGAGATAGAAACATCAATGATGAGAGAGAAACATCAATGATGGATCCCCAGTGTGAGGCTGCCTCTTGCACGCCTCACACTGGGGATCCAGCCCACAGCTTGGGCATGTGCCCTTACTGGGAATCGAACCACGACCTCCTGGTTCATAGGTTGATGCTCAACCACTGAGCCATGCCAGTCGGGTTCACTATATATTTATATACTATAGACGAAGCCCCTAGAACCACAAGAGATGCAAAAAATTCACTGTTAATAACTCATTCTCAAATTGCCCCCCTTAAAAATCAAATTGTCCCCCCGCTGACCTAGAGTAAGATCTCTCCAAACACTTTCCCCACATGACCCTGGGGAAGAGACAGAGGTGAGATGTGTGTACTTGTGTCTGTAACCTTATGGGGACAGACGTAATGTTACAGGCCCACCTTGTGCCCAGGCACCAGCTCCTTCCAGGACTTCTCAATGGTCAGGTCGCTGTCGCTGCCCTTTCCTATCTCCCAGTGCTGCCGGTCCTCAGGGGGCAGGCGGGGCATCCCAAACATGCTGAATGTATGCAGCCTCCTCTGTAGCTCATTGGTTTTGTCGACTTCCTGGTGGAATTGAGAAAGGGATTAGTTGTGGCCACAGCCCAACAGCCCTGGGAGGGCTGTGTGTGTGTGTGTGTGTGTGTGTGTGTGTGTGTGTAAGCCTAGGGGACAAGGATCAACCCCTGCTAGGCTTACAGGGGCAAGGGAGCTCTGGCACAAGGCTGGAGAGGCACTTTGCATTGCAGAAAGGTCCCTGGACAGAGGGGTCTGACCTGGGCCCCCTGACCATAAAGGTGCCTTCCAGGGGTCTCTTGAGACAGAACCCTTTAGCGGGACCTTCAGGGGGAGACTGGAACAGGACTTAGGAAACCAGAGGTCTCAGGCAGCATTTTGATGTTTGCCCATAACGTGGACATTTTTATGAGGCAGCATAGCTTAGAGATGTATCCCTGGGAAGGACTCCATACAGGGCCAGTGGCTTATTGGAGGGTCTGCCCGAGCTCTCGGCTCTCATATCTCTGGAGGACATCACAGCTCGGGTTTTGAGCGTGGCAATGGGAAAAGAGAGGGGCCCTTTACCTTGAGTTTGGGGGAGTGAGGTGGGCCAGCCCCAAAGGGGCTTCCAAGCCTTTTCTCAAACTCTGGTTCTCGAAACCTCCTGGGAGACAGGATTCGGGTCTGGCCGGAGCCCTTGGCAGAGGAAGCATAGTCCTGGAAACGTAGGCGACTGGGCTCCTGGGGGAAGAGCAAGGAAAGGTCAGGGGTGTCTCCCTTCCCCCAGAAGTCCTAGGGAGGGAGTGGGGGCCAGGCCCTCACCTGTGCAAGCTGAACTGACTCACTGCTCCCCTCAAACCAGTTTGGTGTGAGCCGCTCCTGCCCTGAGTCACAGTGGCTGCTGCCAGGGAGGCCAAGTGGGTTGGGCAGGGACATGCCAAGCTGGCTCCCTGAGTGAGCCCAGGGCAGAAGTAGAGCCTCCTGCAGAGCAGCACACAGGTGCACACATGCCTGGGCTCTGGTGTGTGTCCCCCCGCATGTCTGCCTACTCACGTGTGCGCTCCCCGCGCCTTAGGCTTGCATGCACAATGCACAGTGCACACTACATCTGGGTCCCTCACAGCTTCTCTGGTTTTGGGAACAGCCTCCCTGACACGTGGGGATGAGGGCACACACATGGGTGGCTCCTCCCCAGGGGCATGTGGCTTGGGTCCCATCCAGTGGGGGCAACTGCCCTTCCTTGTGAGAGGCTGAGGCCGTGGCCACAAGTCTCCTCCTGGACAGGCCCAGTCACATTCCTCGATTGGCCTGTGGTTGGACTTACTCCACAGACTTCCTATTCTGCCTTCCCGACCTCAGCCTGGGAGAACCCCCCCTCACCCCACTGCTGTCCTGCATCCTAGGGCATATCTTCCTCCAGGAAGGCTGGGGATACCCCCAACGGGAAGCAGAACTGCTCTCAGGGTAGAGGGAATCGTGGAGGCGGAGGGAAAGACCGCTGGCCGCCACACCCCTTTCCTTGGTCAGCACTGGAGGCAGGCCAGGAGGGTGGAGCTAGGGTGGAGCTCGGGAGCCCCCACACCCCTCCCCACTTTCAGAGTAGGGGCACTCTGAACCTTTGCTCTTTCTCCAGCCCTGACTCAGAGCCCACAGGCTCCTCCCAGGAGAAGTGGGAGTCTGGGAGGTGCCATCCCCAGGGCTTGGCGAAGTTCCCCAGCTCCCGGACTCGGACCTGTCTAACAGCACCTCCTCCGAGGACCTGGCACCCCTGGCTCTCTGCCTTGAGCGCCCCATCTGTCTGGGATGGGCGTAGAGTCCTGGGAACCTGGCCCGGCACTGTCTTCCTCAGTCTTTCCCAACCCCAGGAGAGAAGGTAGGGGGGGAGGGATCGGAAGAGAGCAGCCCACGAACCGGTGAAAGGCAGAGGCCTGAAAGCCTGGGTATCCTCCCATCTGCCCCACCCAGGTCACCTTTGGGGCATGACCTGGACTCACCAGCATGAGGCCTCTTCGGGCATAGAGGTTGCTGCCCGTACTCTGGGCAGAAGCCCGATGCTGGCCCCCATAAGCCTCAATGCGGGACTCCACAAGTCCTCGGAGGGGACGCTCATCTGGAGGACCAAAAGATTGCATCCCTTCTCTCCTGGGTCACCTCCAAAGGTTCATAGTTCCAAGGTCCAGGAGAAAGAGGTCCCCTGAATCTGCAAAGAGAAAATGAATGGAAGGGTCAGTGGGTGGCACTAGACCTGAGACCAAGGGATGGAGGTGGGGAGGGGAGGAAGATGGAGGGGTCAAGGGCTTGGTCACTTGTTGGGAGAGCATGTCTTCGTCATCTCTGACTTGCTGGGGGTGGGGAATGCCCCCCTCGCTGGTTAGAAAGCCCCTGGGAACCATACTTCCTCCACACGTGGGCATGTTTGGAGTCTAAGCTCCCACACTGGCCTCGGACGAGGCTGTGGTTCTGAGAGGAGTTGGGAACCAGGACGCGATGGACAAGTCCCCCGTTTCCCGGATGGCCCCAGGTGGGGGGATTCCCCTTGCACCCGGTTACAGCTTCCCTTTCCCCATACGCAGCCTGCAGGGAGGTCATGTGAGAGAGGACAGGAGACTGCCTGGACCTGTCACCTGTTTTTGTACAACCTGCCAGCTAAGAATGTTTTTAAATAGTTGGGGGGGGAGGGGATTAAAAATACGATTTCACTACAGAGAAAACGTCTATACAATTCACATTTCAATTTCATTGGGACACAGCCACAGTTACCCGTTGACGGATGATCCCTGACTGCTTTCCAGCTGGTTTCGATAGAGATCATATATACTAGTAGACTTGGAAATCTAAAATATTTACCATCTGGCCCCTTGCTGATGAGTTTGTCCACCCCTTCCCTGGACGCTCCTGGCTACAAACACGGTGTGAAGGAGGAGCGGCTATGAAACCCTCTGCCTTAGAGATGAGCAGAGCAGAAGCAAGGTCTCTCTGGTCTCAGGGTACATTGGGTCCCAGTTTCTATGAACATGTCTATGCAGCAGGTGTGGGGCTCCATCCCTCCCCCCTCCACCTGGGTAGAGGACCCTCCCTCTGAGTAGGCAGGGCTTGCATACAAGAGGTGTCTTTAGCAGTTGCTGGCCCCTCTCCGGGTGGGCCTGGGCCCCCTTCCCTTACCCTCCCTCCCCCCGATTTATGAGCCGGAAAGAAAAGCGGTCACTGTCCCCCAGGCCCCTCCCAGCAATTCTCCCTCCAAGGGCTCTGTCTCCCTCTGGCTGCCTTTCTACCCGGCTTCCCGGCTTCTCCCGCCCCGCGCCCCTGGCCCGCGCCGCCCCCATCCGCTCACCTGTGCCTGCAGGTGTCCCCGCGCCGGCGGCTCGCGCGGCAGGCCCCGGCCCGCGGGGCTCCCGCCAGCGGACGGCTCCCCCCGCGATGCCAGCCCCGCAGCCGGGCCTGGGTCTGGGACCGAGCGGCCCGCAGGACCCGGGCAACGCAGCGCAGGGCCGGGCGGAGGGAAGGTGGCAGGACAGGGGCGGGGACCGGGCAGGCACCGCCCTCTCCCCCGTGGGCGCCGGACCGACGGCGCAGGGAGGACGCCCAGGGAGCCTTGGGGACCGAGGAGCCCCTGTCTGGGACGCAGCCACCACCCTCGGGGAAGAAAAACTCGCTTCACAGGGTCCCCATTTGCCTCTTCCTTTTGCACCTGAGCTCACCACCCACCGGCCGGAGCGGAAGGGCTGGAGCCGCGCGCCACCTTCAGGCGCTCGCTCCCCTCTGGGCCGAACCCCGGGACCCCCGGAGGCTCGCAAGTGATGAGGCTTATTGAGGAGGCGGCGAGTGACCCGCGGCAGGTGCCACCTCGCTTTCTGGGTGCAGTGAGTGACCGGCTATCCCTTCCTCCCCCTGCCTTCTCATTTTATTTTTTTATTTATTTATTTTTTTACCAGGCAGGGGAGCGGCACAGCCAGCAGAAGGAATGTAGGGGCTCAGGGATCCTGGGGCCCTCGTGGGGCTTTCTGTCGTGGAGTCCAAAGTGTGACCCTTATCTCTCACTGCCCTGGCCATCTGTGGAAGGCTGGACTTTGCCTTTGCTCCAAGGACCGCACCTGGGGCCGGGTCCCTGGCCCAACATCTCTCCCATCATCACCTGAGCTGGGGTGAGAGGACAGGAGCTGCCAGCTGATGGGGGTACCTTTGTGCTCCATGGCAAACAGGAGCCCTCCAGGTTTCATACCTACAGCTGCTCAAAGAGATCTGATCCATGGAAGGACCACATTTTCACATCCATAGACCATGGCGCGTTGTCTGACAGAAGGGGGTGGATTCGGGGAACCAGAAGTGTCCATGGAGGGATGATCATTATAATCTTACAGCCATGAAGCCAAAGATCCTGTAATGGGGGCGGGGGCAGGTCTGAATGCCCCACCACCACCACCACCACCCCATCCTGGGTCTTCCTGCTATGCAGGGACCGATAGGACTTATTGCATTTGTAGAGCATTCTGAAATTTACAGAGCACGTTCACAAGCATAATCTCTAGATCTTTCTCCTCTTTGCTCTCCTGTCTGGCAAATTAAATACTTCAATGATCTGAAGTGTTCTCGTCCTCACTCTGAGGACTCTGTTTTGTTTGGAGAGGAATCTTTATCACCTTTTTTTTTTTTTTAATTTAAGTGTCAAACAGCTTTAATTAAGCAATATACATAATTTAAAATTGTGATACAAAAATTAAACATACAAAAAATGTAAATAATAGTATAATGAGCCCCATATACCCAGATTCAACAACTATCAATTTTTGCCATGTTTATTTATGCTATTCATTTTTTTCTTTTTACTATTTTTAAAACTTTATTTTCATTGTTGACACTTTTATAGATGTCCCATTCCTGCCCCCCCCCCACACACACACTTTGCCTCCCTCCACCCAGCTTCTAACCCCCTCCTTCCCTCTTGCCATCCCACATTCATGCACTAGTTTCTAGTTTTGGTTCCTTCCTCATAATTGCCCTTCGATACTCTCTTTTTCTGAGCTTGCTGTTATGTGATTGCTCTATTGGTTCAGAAGAGTTCTTTGTGCATCTAGCCCCTGCATGCTACTTCCTGCTTCCTGCCTCCCAGTGGGTCAGAGGATTTTAGGGCAGGAATTACAGTGGAGAGAAGCCCCTTTCTCTTCCCATTCACAGTGTGTGTGTGTGTGTGTGTGTATGTGTGTGTGCGCGTGTGTGTGTGTGTCTATGATCACTACCCCGTTTTTGTGTTAAAAAAAAAAATATATATATATATATATATATATATATATATATATATATTATTGATTTCAGAGAGGAAGGGAGATATAGAGATAGAAACATCAATGATGAGAGAGGATCGTTGCTCAGCTGCCTCCTGCATGCCCCACACTGGAGATAGAGGCCTACAACTGGGGCATATGCCCTTTCGACTGGGAATTGGACTGTGTTGACCTCCTGGTTCATAGGTTGATGCTCAACCACTGAGCGTTGTTCACACACAGAGAGATCAATTGATCCAGGAATGACAAGAGTAGTCATGAGGGAAGAGAGCTAATAATAAACCAGGGGATGGCGATTACTGGCAGCATTAAATGACACCCCAGGGATAGCTGGTGCCAAGGGTCCCTAGCTTCTCCTCCCAGTGCCTCCCAGAAGGAGGTGGAAGGAGGAGTAAGAAGGAAATTGAAATTTAGAGAACACCAGACATAAACCTGGGCTTACAGCACTCGGGTGAGATAACTAGACTGGCCCAATGGACATGGGGAAAACTAACCCTTTCACTTCCCTGAAGACTGGAATCCAATCTCCATCTATTGCCTGCCCCAGGGCCTGTCTCAGCCTTCTGGAAGGAGAGGTTCCCAGGAAAACTGGAGTCTTAAAGCTGGAGGTGTGGCAGGTCACTAATGGGCTGGGAGGTGGGATCCCTGTGTTCTAATTGGTCTATTCTGGCCTTCTTGTCAGGTTGTTGTTCTCACAACCTCCATTTCCCCTAGCCCTTCTGTGTGGTGGAGAGAAGACACATGAATGAAGCCCGAAGAATTGGGAGGTTGGAGGATTGGCCCCTACTGAGTGGTGCTGGGGAGCACCAGACCTTTGGCCCAGGGAGAGAACCTGGGTACTTGTCTTTCTTTTGGGCTGGCCCCAGTCTTTCCTTACATCTTTAGCTTGAGTCCTATCCCTTCTTCATGCCTCAGTTTCTCCCCCAGTGCAGATACCCCTCGTTTGGCCCCCAGCTCAATTCCACAGCTGATGAGTAGGTATCTGTCCAAGATCAGAGCTCTGAGGGTCAGAAACTTCCACCTGATACAGCAGGAGGGTAACTTTCTGGGGCTGGCATAGGGAGACCCAAACCTCTTCTCCCCTTCTTCACAGGCAGGAAGGTCAAGGAGACTCACTGGAGCTGGGAACTCTGCCCGGTTCCTACCTCTCAGGGCAGAGTGGAGCCATCTGGGTTAATGAGCATCTGGGTAGGTGCTAAAGGAGGCAACTGATAGGAAGGGTGTCCTCCTTGGCCCAGAGTGGGGGAGAGGGGAAGCTGAGGGCTCATTCTGGGAGGCACCAGGTCATGTGAGGCAGGTAAGACTGGGGGGCTGGGCCACTGGGCACAGGTGCCAGTGACTTAGATCAAAACTGATGCCCTCTTCCTTTCCTTTTTAATTCATCCCTCCATCCCTTCCTTCCACACTATTGGCTGTGTGCAAGATATGAGGGATAGTCTTATTCCTAGAATAAGAGACAGTCCCTGGCCTCCAAGAGATTTCAGACTAATATGGGAGACAGACAGACTAATGGTGAACAGAACATTGACATGCAAGTCATACTTATAAAGAATGCACCAAGCTATGAGAGCACTTGGGAGGGACTAATAACTGCATAAGGGAGTCAGAAAGGCTTCATAGAAGAGGTGAACTTTGTGCTGAGACTTTAAGGTGAGTAGGAATTTGCTGGGCAAAATAGAAAGGAAGGGCATTTCTGGAGGAGGGAACAGCATGAGCAAAGACACAAAGATATAGAGGAACATTGTTAAAAAGAAAGGGGGAAAGGGCAGGCTTTCTCTAAGGCCTCCTGAGAGTCGGCCTGATGGACTCCTGGGGACATCCCATCCTCCAGCAGCTGATCTCTGAGTGGTGAC